TCAATAAAGCTTGAGGTGCTCTAGATCATAAGAAAGGGTCAGTCCAGATGTGGTGACACACCTGTAATCCCAGCACTCAGGAGGCTGAGGCAGGAGGATTGCTATGAGTTCAGGACCAACCTGGGCTACATAGTGAGTTCAAGGAGAGCCTTCACTGCATAGAAAGACCCTGTCCTGGGAGCAGAGACAGACAGAGATGGAAACAGAGACAGAGACACAGACAGAGACATGAAGACACAGGGATAGAGACAGAGATCTGAGATGAGAGAAGGAAACTCAAGAAGGAGGCGTGTGAACAGGACTTTGACTTGGCCTCACATGTTCCTGCAGAGGCAGCAAATGGTCAAACTTGTGTAGGAGGTAGGAGTAGTCTGGAGTGAAGGCCAGGGAAGGTGAATTCTGGCCGGTGTCTGAGGTCTGGAGACAGAACCAGGAAGGCAAGGCTGAGGAGTTTGACGTTTGTTCTGCGAGTGGTGGGGAATTATGGGGCAGGACAACACTAGCTTTGCCTTAAGAAGATTCCATCCTCATCTTAGAGGCTGCTCTGGAAGAGCATTTTCTGAGTTGTGGTTCCTTGTAGCATCTAGAGTTTATAGGTCTGTGATACTTTGTTGATATAGAGTCTTTGAAGTACTTCTTTACTGTGCTTGTTTTATTGTCCATTGGAGTGTTTCAAATTTTTCCAGTATTCTAAATACAGCTGTAAGGAATGTTTCTGAATATTCAAGAGCCAGGTTTTTGGTTTGTCTGGTGTTTTTTTAGCTCATACCCTGTGATAGGCTTTTACTAGACATAGGGGACACGGGAATAGTAGATGCCGACTTTGTCTTCTATGAACTCATAGTCTAGTGAAACTGATATTATATTTGGGGTCACTACTTTTAAAGAATGCCACTCAAAATAGTAACAGTGAAGAGCTTGGTGTGATGGTGCACACCTGTAATCCCAGCACTTAGGAGGCTGAGGCAGGAGAATTGTTATGAGTTTAAGGCCAACTTAGATTACATAGTGAGTTCAAGACCAGCCTGAACTATGTAGCAATACCCTGTCTCAAAAAAAAAAAAAAAAGTAGCAGAGGATCAAAGAAAATGATCAAATATTAAATTCATATTACAATTTCCCTGATTATTTCCTAGAGAGACTGAATAGTCAATTTTTATTGCCAGCCCTAGATTTCAGGGTCAATAAATGTTGGGCCTTATTTTATTCATACTTGGTAGTTTAGTACACATAGTGGAGCTCTGTAGTCCTTTCTGTTGTGCTTCTTTAATTAATAATGTTACACATTTTCTATGTTTTCTTTTTGAGGTACTGGGGATTGAACCCAGGACCTTTACAACAAACTATATCCCCAGCCTGTTCTTTATTTTTTTATTTTGAGACAAGGTCTTGGTAATTCACTAAATACCCCAGGCTGGGCTCAAATGTGTGATTCTCTTGCTTCAGTCTACCAGAGTGCTGGGATTGCAGGCCTGCATCCCCACACCTGGCTTTTCTGTGTTACTTAGAAGGTTTATTTGTACATGTGAGAGTTGTCAATTCATTTGTTTTGAGCATATGGAATCTAAATATTTTCCATATGTATTTTGGTACCTGTTGTTCATATATTTGTAGTATAAGCTTTTATTTCCCAGAATGTTATTTTTTATTAATTTACTTATTTTATTGAAATATAACATATACCATATATGTGCTTGCTCAGGAGCACATACAATTATATATCATGCTGGTACTGGCTATTAAATATTTGAAATGTGGCTAGTGTAAGTGGAAGACTGGATCATTTTATTTAATTTTAATTAGCTTAAATTTAAAGACTGGTGAACCTTAACCCCAAATGTATATACATATACACACATATGCATATATACATTTAAAGACTGGTAAACTGTGGGAAAGCATAAGTACGTTTGGAACCTGGACAATGAAATTTGACTTTCCAACTATAAATTTCTGAGAAAAACAGATTCCAAATAATATGCACTGTAAGCATAAAGTACACATTTGATTCTGAAGGTATCTTATAAAAAAGAGTATAAAATACCAATTATTTTTGTATTAATTATATATTTAAATGGTACTATTTTGATATATTGGGTTGAAGAGAACTGTATTATTAAAACTAACCTCACATGCTTGTTTTTGTTTTTTTTTTTCCTTTTTTCATGTGGCAATTAGAAAATTTAAATTTCCATACAAGTCTTGGCTTGTATTTCTTCTGGATACCATTGCCCTAGAAGTTATATCTTTTAAAGAATGTGGCCCTAATTTGAAATCTACCTCTCAGATGTGTGACTCAGCAAGTTCAAATTTCCCAAATCAAGATCCAGTCTCCTTGCCTATAAAGTAGTGAAATAATCATCTCCATATCACGCATTTGTTATGAGGGTTGAGGGCAATATATGTATAAAAATATAGAAGAGCATTTCCTGATAGTCAGTGCTCATGTTATTATTATTATTACTCTTGTTACCACTATTCCCATTAATCTCTCGTTTATTTTTTAATCTGGAAGAATTTTTAATCCATGGTACATTAAATCTATATTTTAATTTAGAGCTTTAATTTTAAAGATTTAATCTTTCCCACTGGCAACCCAGCATAACTTTTGCCCAATTACTTTCTTTATTGCTTTAAGGAAGCTTATATTATTCTCCTTGACTAAATCTCTCTTAACTCTGAGTTAAATTTAACACAAACCACGAATTTTGTTACTTGAATTCTTTTGTAGTATTTTCTAGCTTTTAAGCATTAGCTTATTTTAAAAGTTTGGTACCTAATATACATTCAGCAAATCTGTTTTTAATGAATTAAAGGCTTTTTGTGACTATTTTTATCCTGCAACTCTACTAACTTATTTTGCAGTGCTACAAATTCTCTTTATCATCTTCTGGGTATACGTATGTCACTAAAAAAAAAAGAAAAGCGCCTTTCCGTGTCCTGTGCTTATAATTACTTCCCTGATAAATATAAGCATTTCCCCTGCCACATTAAATAGGAATAATATCTGGGAGTATTATTATCCTGTTGCTTTTTTTAAATTTTTTTTTTGCGACAGGGTCTTGTTAAGTAGAGCAGGCTGGCCTCAAACTCTCAGCCTCCCAAGGGCTGGGACTATAGGCTCCTGATGCATTTTTAAAAGAACACAAATGTTCATTTTTTGCTCTCAGTGTATATTACTTACTATATTTAGAAAGACCCCTTTAAATCAAGTTAGAGTAAGACAGACCTGTAATTCCAGCACTGAGAAGGCTGACGCAAGAGGATTACCATGAGTTCAAGGCCAGCCTGGGCTATATAGTGAGCTCAAGACCAGCTTGGGCTACATAGTGAGTTCAAGGTCAGCCTGAACTACATAATGAGACCCTGTCTCAAAAAAACAAAAAAAGAGAGAGAGAGAAAGAAAAGAAAGGCCCTCTTATACTTTTTTTTTTTTTTTTTTTGAGGGTCTCACTATGTAATTTGTAAGAGACAGGGTCTGATTCTGTTGTACAGGCTGGCCTTAAATACCTGGGTTCAACAAATCCTCTTACCTCAGCCTCTCAAGTAATTGGAATGCACCACACCCAGTAGCCCTGTCATAGCTTTAAAGTTTTGTCTTTTAAATCAGCAGTCACTATAGGTTTTACACAGTGTAAGTTTTCAGTTTTCTGTGTCTTCCCTTGCGTTAGATCTCTCTGCTGACCTTTCTGAGCATTACCTATGTGCTTGCCTAGAAGAAATCCTCTCTCCACCCATCTAAGCTGTTGGGTCATCTGTTCAGACAGAAACTAAATCTGCTCATCCACCTGAGTAGCTCTCAATGGACGATGCGTGATGCACAGGAATGCTTTGTATTTGAACTTGCCTTGAGCATTTTGGCTCTGTGAAACCGTTTTCCTATTTTCTGGTTCTTGTTGAAATTTGAGGTCATTATAAATGGCAGAGAGGTGGTTATCAGATAAGTGAGGTCCTGTTGCAAGAAACAGAGTTCCTGACAGTGTTTGGTAAATGGATGAGAATAAATGATAGACATTAACGGCACAACCCTGACGGAGCTGTTCTCCACATCGCTGTTGTTTATTATAACAATAAGCACCTCCTCCCACCACTATTTGACCTTCCTCAGAAAGAACCATAACTGTGAGAAGGAAATAATCATTTGCCATGGACAAGTGAAAAATAGCTTATGACTCATTTTGTGGTTTTAAGAAATACAAAAAGCAACTTACAACATGCTTGCTTTTAGATGTAGAGAATATATACGGTTTTAGAAATTAATATAAAAGTATTCTTTGCTATCTAGACATTCCTACTGGAATTCTCAGTTACAAAGTTTAAAGATAAATGAAATTAATCATATAGCAAAAAAGAAAACGTCATCGATGGGGCTGAGGATTTAGCTCAGTGGCACAGCGCCTGCCTGGCAAGCGCAAGGTTGTGAGTTCGATTCCTGGTACCAGAAAGAAAACAAAAAACAAAAAACAAAAAACAAAAAAAGAAAATGTCATCGAAAAAACAATCCACCTATAAAATGAGACATTATCACACATCCAAACCTGTTAACTTCGTATACTTTCATTCAAACAGTGCCCTCAGCCTGGGTTGCTTGTCTGGCCATCCATCCATTCGCTCTTCCATCCATTCATGGATGCACTCTGTAGCATATTAGACATCTGTGTGCAGCATCTGAGCTGTGTGGTAAACCCTAGGAACGTCCCAAGATGTACCCCGAACCTCCTCTAAGTAACAGATGTTCCCCGGGTTCCCTCCATGCAAAGTGAAAACAGCCCCCCTCCTTTCTCTTGGTGCCCACAGCACCTCTCAATCTCTCTTTTAGGACATGGTCACAAGAGCTTTGCTTGTTGTAACTAGTGATGTTTGCATCGTATCCCTCTTAAGAAGAAAGTTAGTGTTCGCTCAGCTCTGCATCTTCCTCCGTCATGCATGTGGCTGACCCGGTTTGTGGTCCCCCTCTGGAACCCTCCCTTTCACTGTTTTACATTCTCCTTCTCTTCCAGGGCTAAAGTCGCTGCAGCTGATGGGCCTCCTGGGAACCCAACCCAGGCCCCCACCCCTGTGAGGCACACGGTAAAGATAGACAGAGACGTCCTCCTCCAGGACTATGGATTTCACATTTCTGAGAGCCTTCCTCTCACAGTGGTGGCCGTCACAGCAGGTAGGGTTTGACTGGAAAATGTGAAAGGAGTTTGGTTTCTCAGGGCAAGGTAGTCTTGGCTCTCCTTCCATTTATCTGTCCTGCAATGAAAGGCAGAAAATGCTACCCCAGGAAGTTAGAAAACTCTGACCTCATTCTGTCTTGGCCTCTATACCTTCCGTTGGTGCTGGGAGGGAGGGAGCTCCCCCCAGCACTTCTACTCTGAGCCTCAGCCTCCCACGGGCCTCTGCCTGAGCTTAGCCCTCCCTCAGCTCCCCGGCCAGTCTCAGAGACAAGGAAAGTATTTGGATAAGCTGGCCTTCTTCCCTGAGCCCTGCATGCTTCTAGCTGGTGAGAATTTCTGGGCAGACAGTAATAGAAACTATTGATTTGTTTTCACTTGAATCTTTGTGAAATATAGGTTGTACTGGGATGGAGAGGAGCAGGCTAGCAAAGCCTCATGTTTGTTTTCATACTTGAGCTAGGACTGATGTTATATCTGGGACTAGTTAAAATGCGTTTCAATTTACATACTTGCAGGTGTGCACATGCATGCACATGTACACCACAGTTCTTTAGAGATGAATATAATACATTCATTGGCAAGCTCTATTGATATGTAAGGTTTCTGCTAGTTTTCTTTCTCAGTATAGTCTCCTAACAGCCCCTTGAATTTGATGGATGATATACATTATCCATGCTTTATAAAGAGAGATCCATGTGAGCCGGTGCCCAAGGGGCTCAGGCTGCCATTCAGCTGTGCCACTGTGACACTTGGGGTCTAGGCACATCTGGCCAGAGTACCATTTACTTATTTTTTGTCCAACAGGAGGTTCCGCTCATGGCAAGCTTTTCCCTGGTGATCAGATCCTCCAAATGAACAATGAGCCTGCTGAAGACCTTTCCTGTGAACGAGCAGTCGATATTTTGAGGTACTAAATTGTCTTCCATCATCCAGAGCTGCAGGGATAATCATAGAGATAATCTTCTCTAATGCAGCAGGAGCAGCCTCATCTTGGGGTTTCGGCTCTGGCTAGTAGGATGGCTTCTCAGTGGTGGCTGTAAACTATCTGCTCTCTTTCACCTGCCCACACAATAGTGAGGGAGGCACAGAGAGCTGTGTTTATTAAACCCCTGCTATGCCCAAGGCACTGTGCTAGTCACCGTGGGGAGCATGCTGACGAGCACCTGATAGGCCCTACCCTCTGAGGACTGATGGGCTTGTTGTGACAAATGCCAAAGATTGAACTAAATAGATACCAGATCTGTTTGTTCTTTTTTAACACTTGATATCTTTTCTTGCGTGTTCCTGCAGGTACAGGTTGGCATATGTGTAGTTTCACTGATAGAGCACCTATGGCTTCCCTACTGCTCTTACTGTGATTTGTGTAAATTCCTTACCTGCTGCCTAGACCATGATCTCCTGAGAGGCAGGTACACAGTGGATGCTCGGGTGAACCAGTGAATATGGTTTGCACTGGGATTTGGTGACACTGGTTTTAGGATAGAGGAATGTCAATGATGGGAGGAAAAGGATCCACAGACTTTATATAGGCCCATACAGGCTTTGACTTTTAAATTTTTCACTGAACCCTATTTTAATGACTTTAAATAGAGAGAGATGAGGAGTAGAATTAGTTGAAAGTTAACTTAAACATAAATCAGTACCTAAGTTTGAACCTTCTTGTGAGTTTAACTGAAGCAGAGAAAGATAAAATGAAGATGCACAATGCAGTCTCCATCCTCAGAAGCACAATCTCAGAGACAGGTGGGCACGCACACGAGTGCGTGCACGCACTCACACACACACACACACACACACACACACACGCAGAGTTTAACATTTACAGAGGGCTGACCAAAATTTAAAAAGCAGTCTCTTCAAACTAGCCCAGTGTTGCTGAAGGGATGCCAGAGACTAAGTTGAGTGGGTGCAATGGCCAAGGATGGCATAATTTCATTTAAAAATAAGAAGCGAATTTTAGAAAGCGTGAATTTTGCTTTCTTAGTTATTTTCCCAAAGATGATCAGCAAACAAATTTTAGAACTTCAGTGCTGCTGATATTTCTGTGGGACTAGGTCAAACTGATGAATCAGCAAATGTATTTGTAACTTTAAGGAGCAGAGCAGAATTTGAGCATTTAGGTAACGTTTACCCCTGTCTGTCTACTGAATTACCTACTCTGGGCAAGGAGCCCTATGGGTAACAGTAGCTCCACTCCCCAGGCACTTGCAAGCTGCTAGTGCAGATCCACACATGTGTATACATGAGATTGAGAACAGGTACGACAGCAAGGAAAACAGGAGACATGGATTATGAACACTGGGGTTTCCTCCAACCTGGGAGGAAATTGTAGCCGAACAAAGCAAAGAGATCCAGAAGTATTGAAGCTGTACCTTTGATGCTGCCGACAAAGATGGAAGTGAAGCGGGAGACGGGGCACATGATAAGCAGGAGCAGCCTGGTGACCAGGGGGTGCTGAGCAGTTTAGTTTCCTTGAGACGGTTTTGAGGGAGTGAAGCACAGAGGAGGGAGGGTCCTGGGTGCCAACACGGTAAGTTCCAGCGCCGCTCTGTTAGCTTCTGAGCAGTGACTTGAGGTGTGCAGTACATCTGTCCCCTGTGCCAATTTTGCGTGTGAGAATCCCAGGATTGCTTTTTTTAAAAAAAATTTAGTTCCCAGTGTCTGAAAAAGAAGCATATTATTCATTGTCGCTTCTAAGGGGGAGGGACAAATTGATACAACAATAATCACAACAAAGACTGTCTAATTCCTTCAAATATCTGTGAGATCAGAGTGTCCTTTAAAAAGCAGTGGGACCTCAGCTTATTGTGATTTATTTCTGAAACGGCCTGTTCTCATATAAAGTGGGAGAGCGGCAATCCTCAGACACAGAAACCTCAGGTTGACTTACCTGTTGGAGGAAATAACGCACTAGCCACCATTGATCTCAATGTTCACACTGCAAGAATTCAAACAAAGCTATTTTACACATTCTTTCTTTCTGTATCAATAGCAAAGAAAAGAAAGTATGAATCAATTCCATGGTCCTGCCTGCTAGGACAAAGTAGAGCTTTGTTAGTGACCTGGTTGTTTTGGTCACTTTTGAAATCTATAAGAATAATTCAAGATAAAAATGTCTGATATCTTGATTGTATGTTTGAACTCACTACACTGACATTGTGTTCCTAAACACCACAAACTACTTGGCTTTTATCTGATCAGTGTTATTTGCAGACAACCATTCTCCTTAGTGCAGTATCTAGCCTAAGTTTTTCTGAAATAGCAACTTAATTTATGTGTTTTTGTTTTCTCTTTAAAATTTTTTTAAACTTGATCTTAATTGATATCAACTGGATGAGTTCTCCATCATTTGAGGCTAAATTAAAAGCCTTAATTTAGTGGCTATAGGTGTAGACTGAGTAGTAGAGGAGGATATCTGAAGATTCCCTGGAGGTAGGACGAACATTCTGGGCCAGCTCAAGGTCATTGGCAGGTCACTGCCTTCCCGAACATTGTTCTCAGTTTTGCTGAACCAAAGTCAGCAGACGGGCTGCTTTTTAATGATGCTGCCTGTCTTTTTGACTTAGACGCATCCACATATCACACAGAATGACTGAATATTTTTGTCTGTATTCTTTTCAGGGAAGCTGAAGATTCTCTTTCAATCACAGTTGTTCGCTGCACATCGGTAAATTTCTTTTGCTGTCCTATGTATTAATGTCACATTCTGTGGTCCCAAGACCCTGCACCTCCAGAAGATATCCCTCATAAAATCAGCAAGAAAGCCAGAGGGCAGAGGGGGCAGCTGCTGGGCACTGGGTGACCAGTCAGTCAGTGTAGCCTAAAGACCTATCCCAGGCAGGTGCCAGGGAAGAAACACGGTCTGGGCCTCAAGGATTCACGATCTAGTGAAGGAGACAGAGCTGTGATTGGGATGATGAAAAGAGCACTGAACTAGGAATTTCAAGACAGCTTTGTGTGGTATAACTTTGGGACAGTCACTGTTTTTGGTTTTCACTTTCGTAAAACAGTGGGGATGGCCATCACTGCATGGTCTGTCAGGTTGTCCTGAGGATCAAATGAGGTGCTGGATGTGAGGATGTTTAATCAGCTTTGAGACTCTCATCACAAGGCAAGGTGTGGGGAAGAAATGGCAACCCTGAACCAAGGTTAAAGGGCTCTTTATATATTATACAGAGGCAAATGTATGGTCAAGTTATAAGAGCAAACTACCAAGGAGGACAAGTTAACAGAAAATTCTCATTGTGAGAGACTTTAATATACTCCTCCCATCCTTGACCATAATAGGCAGGAAGGAAGAAGGAAGGAAGGGAGGAAGAAAGAAAAGTAGGGTTAGAGGACAGAGAATTTTAATAATGTATTCAGTAATTTAACCTAAATGGCCACACAGCAGGCTGCCAAGAAAATGCAATAAATTTCACAAATTAAAAATAAACAATATAGATCCCTTTTCCTGAATATAATTTAAAATAGAAACTAATAACTGTCAAAATTTAATTAAAATCATCCAACCATTTGGAAATAAACATGCAATTTCCTAACTAAAGATGGGTTCAAATAGAAAAGCAAAACTACCATTACAGACTGTTTAGGAAATAATTAAAAATTAGAACTCTACTTCTTAAAATTTATTATGTGAAATTGAAGCTATACCCTGGGTAAAGTTCATAGCCCTAAGTGGTTTTTATTATTTAATAAGGGAATAAATCAACTAAATACTTGGTACAAAAAGTTGGAATAAAACTAATAAGATTAAAGAAAATAATAAAAGTCAAAACATAAATGTTGTTTTGTAAAACAGAACAATTGTAAACTTGATAAAGTCAAGAGCTTGTTCTTTAAGGATAAAAGTATAGAATAGGAAAGCCTTAAGGAAAAGAAATATGTGGGCCCTATATTATTTAAGGGGGTTGTGGGTATAACTCATTGCTTTGCACAAGTGAGGCCCTGGGTTTCATCCCCAGCACTACCCCCCTACACACACACACACACACACACACACACACACACACACACAAATACTAAGGGATGTAAAGACTAATTCTTGAATCTAAAAGTAGATGCACACTATATTCATTAATTGGAAGGTTGAATATTATTAATATATCAGTTATTGTCAGAGCAATTTATGTGCTTAATGCAAATTCAAATAAATTCTTTTTTTAATTAAAAAAATCTGTTAGTACATGTTTGCAGTATATAATGTTTGCATTCCTTGTGTGGAGTCGGTACATATACATAACACAATTTAACACATTCCTACCAGATTGAACCACCAGTGGTACATGGATGACTGTCTCACTGGACAACTTATACCACTGGTGGTAGAAGTGGTACAGTCATGCATTAGACAGTCGTGTATCACCAGTGGTCTAAGCCACCTGACAGTAAGACATACAAGTTATGGCTGTCATGAATGTGTTAATTCCTTTATTCATCCTCTTCCCTCCCTCCGTCCATATCTTGATATCCTTTGAGGAAGATCTATCACTCTACTTCCTACTTATCTTTCCTCATGCTCTCAAACAAATTCTTATGGGACTTTCATTTGCATTTTAACAAAGTATGTGAAGGTGAGACATCAAGAAACTCTTTTTTAGCCAGGTGGGTATGGTGGCACACACCTGTAATCCCAGCACTCAGGAGGCAGAGGCAGGAGGATCTCTGGGAGTTTGAGACCAGCCTGGGCTACATGGTGAGTTCAAGGCCACCCTGAACTACACAGAAAGACCCTGTCTTAAAAAAAAAAAAATCTTCTTTAAAAAGAACAGTGAAGACAACCTTGATGAACAGATTGCAAAGCAAATAATTCTACAATCATTAAAATAGTATGATTTGAGTGAAATATCAAACATTGATGTAATCAAAGTCCAAGAATAGATACTTGTATGGAACTTAGTATGTGATAAATGGGGTTTCTCACAAACCAGTGAGAGATATCCAACCTGGATATTTGTTGAAGTATTTTAGGAAAATACAGTCATCTCACCATGGCAGTGTTGCAGAATTTAGATTTTTTTTTAAAAACAATAGAAAATACAGATGGATATTGTAGAGATCATATCAGTACAGACAGGTATCTTAGGTTATAGACAAATTTTATAAGCCTATAGGGGATAAGAAAGAAGCACAGTGGAACAAATGACTATTTGACCATGAAAATATAAAATTTCTGTGGTCTCCCTACTTTACAAGTGAAGAACTTGTCTCCTCTTCTTACTGGGCAAATGTTAAATTTTATTTTAATTCATGAAAAAGAGTAGGAAAAATCCACCTATTTAGTATTAAGATGTTTGCATTAATATGACAATGTTTTACTGACAATTAATGAAGATTTTTCTATTCTAAACTGAGTTTGTCTGTGAAATAATGTAAAAGCGATATAAAAGAGAGAAGCTAGTCAGTGTAATGGTGGTGAGTGCTAAGACATCCTTTTTATTTAGCCTACTATCATCACAATACAGAACATCTTAATCTTAATTAAGTGGGGGTTTTTTCCTACTCTGTTTTTAAGAAATAAGCAAAATAAAATACTTGTTAATTAAGGAGAGAGGGAAACAGAATATAGCTACATCCTTTGAAAAATGAAATCTAAGGGGAAAGGAAAATTGCTATGCCCAGTACCACTCTTGATATTCCCACAAGATTTGTAGGAAGAGGGGCATATAAATACTGTTTCCGCAGAGGTCCTGCAAGAAAAGCCCTATGGTCATGGCGATCAGTGCCCCTGAGAAACACCCTGAATACTGGCTGGCCTTTTCTGAGCTTCTCACCAAAAGTATCCGGAAGCATTTTATAAACCATGCAGGATCATCATACATGTCTTGCTTCAGCAAGGAGCTCATTGTGGTCATAGTACATTCTTAAAAGTTCTCAAATGACATGAAATTGATTAGGGTTTCTAAAGTCCAAAGTTGGAATATTAATTACTGGTTCTCTAGGACTCAGAACTTTATGGAAAGTATATTTTGGTTTAATTTTGTAGATCTGTATTTGTTTATATTCATTATAACATATTATTTATATTAATAATGTTACTTAATTTTCACCAAAAGGAAGCCCTACAAGGTAAATACACTCTTTATGCCCCTCTTACCGATGCACCTTGTCCCACACCCAGAGTTCCATGGGACTGGGTTGTTTTCTAGGTGAGACTCCAGAACCCACACTTACTGACTTCATGCTGGTTTACCTCCTTAAATCTTACTTCTTTCGTAAAATGACCCAGGGTGGGAGTTATTGCAAAAAGATGTAGAAATGTGTTCCAACTTGTGCCTTTTAATGCCCTTTTAAGCATTAACTTTTGGTTCGGCAAAAATATAGAGATTTTTATCAGCTCAAGCCTGCTGCTTTCCAATGAATTAAAATGGAGGGAGAATTAGAAGTCCTAGCTCACATCCTTTAAATTGTCTCTTTAAAATATTAGTTGGCTCAAATGCACTTAGGTAGGTGTCTTACAGTATGTTCCAAATGCAAAGTCCCTGAGAAGTAGAACTGAATTCAGAAGTGAAAGTGTGTAGGAGTCATACTGGGTCCTGTAGGTTGAGCATTTCCATGAGGGGGAGAGCATTCTTTCTCAAAGCAGCCAGTTTCATGGTTGGGTGGTTCCAAGTGGATCAGAGGGCCTCCTTCCCTGTGACTCCCCTGACTAGTCCTGGTTCAAGTCTGCTTTGTGTGAAATAGCTCACCAAAGGTTTGAAAGTATGGCCTTCTCTTCAGGCTAGGCAATTATTTTGTCAACTGTTCCTCACAGATATGGTTTTCTGAATTCTCACTTTCCTGGTAGCTTTCTAGACGGATTATAATTTTATGATGACTGTCCCAAATGGTGGCAAACAAAAAGGAATACACTTCCACCAGTAGCCAACGAGTACCATGGGGAGTACAGGGTGTACTTTCAACGTGCACCAAGAGCTCTAGCGACGCCAGGATTGGGATAACATCCTGGCAAGCCTAGTCACACTGTTGGTTTAGGTGAAAGTTGTGGTCAACTAAATACTGAGCTCGTTTCCAAATTAATAGCTTCCATGCCAGGCATCCCAAACCCATGGTTGTGCAATTGATCTTTTTGATCCTTAGTGCCACACTTCACATTAATCCCTGTCAAGTCCTGTTGCTTTGGCCCAGTGTTCTGACATGCTGAGATTTTACATAGTCAGGGAATCATGGGGCTGAAAGGCTTATTTGTACAGTTGCCAGCTATGGTCATTCTTCCTTTGTGTGAGGGTACCTCTTCTTTCCAAGTCTCGCCCACGTCTTCCAGTTTCTAGCCAGTTAATTTTCTTTAAGATGATTCAGCTCTTGGCCTAACTCTTGCAGAATTGCTTTTCTGAGGATGAAAGATGGCAGTAGTTGCCTCTTGAAAATTCTTTTCCTCTCCCCATCTCTCCTCTATTCTGCCTTGATTTCTCATTCCTTTTAGTCTTCAGTGTGGTGTTGGTTGTACTTGTTGCCTCGATCACTTCATTCTGTGCCTTTATCTCTTGACAGCTCTGTCTCCCTATACCCTCTCGTGTTGTTCTGGGTGATTTCTTCACCTTTGACCCATTTTCTCCTGATCCTCGAGTTTCCTGGGCACTATTCTTTTATATTCTTAGTACCTGATCTTTCTTCTTAATTTCTGATGATACCTGGCAGTTCTGAGTCATTCATAGGTTTGGTAAACTCACTTTCTCTAACTTTTTCCAAGGCATTGCTAAACATCATTGGTAAGAATCGAGCCAAAGGGAGTTTGAGTTGATTAGTTAGAAATCAGGGCTATTGGTTGAGCACTGCGGCACCTGTCTGTAATCTCAAATACTTGGAAGGCTAAGACAAAAGGATTACAAGTTTGAAGCCAGCCTTGGCAACTTAAGACCCTATCTTATATTAAAAATTTTAAAAGAGCTAGGATTATAGCTCAGTGGTACGTATGCCTGAGTTCAATCCCCAGAACTACCCAAAAATAATTTTAAAAAGAAAAGAAATCAGAACTATTGAGCTGGAGGTTCAGTTCCCAGAGGCATAGGGAGAGGGGGACAGAGTAGATCAGGACTATTTTGATTTTTTGAGTACAGGTCAACCAGTTTTGAATCCACCTCATAGCCTAACTCTAGCCTTCTCCACAGCAGGATTATAGGAGAGAGTATCAGATGCTTTGCAAGAATGCAGGAATACTACTATGTCCACAAGACCCTGGTTTACCAATCTGGAATCCTATCATCAAAAGAAAAATGAACTTGCTTGGCTCTGCCTTGTTCTTGGTAACTTCTCATTAGCTGCTGGTGGTCACTGTCTGAAAGCTCTCTGATCATCTTTTGTCTTAGATTTCACCAAGAAGTAGTGACAGGCTTACCATTATTTATTTTCCTGAATCTTCCATATTCATTTTCCAGGAAGCCTAATATTTGACCATCACTAGCCTCCTAATTTTTTTCCATTCTCTCATCCTGGGTGATGTCAGTTGTTATACATAATAGGTCCATAAGCTCCCTCTTTCCTGGGAACAGAAATCTTTTACTCATTCAATACAGTTCGGTAGTGTTATTAATTTTGGATTATAATTTTCTCTTTCCCCTATTTCTTCTATCAGATTGGAAGACCATTCATTTCTACAGATGTACTTCTCTGGAAACATTGCTACCCCTCCCACACTAAATGTTTTTGTTATTGTTTTAAAGCAATCCACATATTTAGGGTGCTATATCATAGTTATGCATCTTGTCAGACCAAGATTCTAGTTGCCAACGATACCACATTTATCTTCTTGCATTAAAATTGTAGCATTATTTGTTTGTTTCATGGCATTGATCTGTTGATATCTGAGTCTGTGAGCATTCTTCTCAGCAATTTCCATGGTGCTATTGTACATCTCTTCCCTCAGCTACACAGAACGTGGCTCTGAACTCCGTCTCAGGACTCCTACATATGCCAACATTCTAAAGGACCATGCAGACCAAGGGAACACAGGATGCTATGCTAGGAAATAGTGTATTTGGGATTTCATTTTAGAAGGTTACATTCTGTTGGTTTGGGCCATATGAGGTGTTGCTTATCAAGTGCCACAATTTGGCCTGATACACTCTGGTCCAAAGGCTTCACCGTATGCTCATACCAGCTGATGTAGTCTAAAGAAAGAGGATATAACCCAAAAGATAAGAGCAAATGGGGGCCAAGGATGAATCACAGAGGTCAGACTTCAGGGAGCTAACTCCTACATTGTACAGATGAGAAGACTGAAAGCCTTCAAAGAGAGGCAAGGATTGGCCAAAATCACAGTTATTTTGTTTTACACACCTGATTTTCTTTCATGAGAATCTGTATTTGAAATAGTTGTCATAACTGTTAAACAGCTGATCTTGGGTTGGAATCCAGGACTCCTCCACAGTCCAGTTTTCTTTGTCTTCTTCATATCATTTTTCTACCATATTGAATTTTCAGCTGTTCAGGCACATGAGAATACTGAATTGTGACCCCTAGATTTTAAGAAAAGAGGTTGTTAAATGGGATGTTGTCCTTTCTTGTGGGTTTTAATTGAATCTATAACCGTTGTTAAAGTGTTTTTTGTTTTAAGAAATGAGAAGATACACATGGTTTTCACAAAAGTACTGTTCTGAAATGTGTCATGTTAACTTTTCAGGGAGTCCCCAAATCATCCTTCTTGACTGACGAAAAGAGGGCCAGGCTGAAGACCAACCCTGTGAAGGTGCACTTTGCTGAGGAAGTGCTGGTCAGTGGACACAGCCAGGTACGTCATTAGTCAGGGGATTGAAATTATTCCTGATTGGGGCTGGGGATTTAGCTCAGCGGCAAAAGCGCCTGCCTGGCAAGTGCAAGGTCCTGAGTTCGGTTCCTGGTACCGGAGAAAAACCAAAAAAAAAAAAAAAAGAAATTATTCCTGATGGTGCTGGTGAAATGCTCCCTGAACATAGCCTGGAAACTGTGGAATCCTCCAGCACAGAGGATATAGAAGGAGTTCCACATGTTGTTAGAGGCTTTGTGCAGCTGTCAGTAAGATCCCTGTAACCCCTGGACAAGCGAAGCTGATGGGATCTCTGAACTGTGGGTGGGTCTAGCAGAGAAGCCCCGGTGTGGTTCTCCATCATTCTGTGACTCCATTCTCCAGCCTTTGAAATTTCAAGAGATTTGAATAGTTAATTATGGATCCTCAAACATAGTTCTTCTGCAGGTGACACACTGATAATTGTGATGGTAGGGGGAGGGATTACTTTTTTGTTATTTTAAAAGCACCCACTTATAATCCCAGCACTCTGGAAGGTTCAGGCAGGTGGATCACAAGTTTAAGCCCATCCTGGGCAACCTTGCAGTTTAGACCCTGTCTCAAAAGGGGTGGATGTGAGGGCTGAGTGCAGAAGCCCTGGGTTCAATACTCATTAACACGCATGCACGCATTTGCACGTGCATGTGTGCACGTGCACACACACATACAAGCTCATCATCTACTGAGCCTCTGTAACGTGGCCTTAACTTTTTGTGTGCCTAATCTTTCAAGTCATCACAATACCCTATGTTCGAGGGATTTTAACAAAAGAGAAAGCAGAAGCTAAGAAAGATTAAGAAAATTAACCACTAAGATCACATACGAAGAAAAGAGAGGCAACAAGATCTGAGACTTCAATTTTTTTGTTTTCCACTATTGCAAACTATCTGGTCCTTTTTGATATAGAGAGACCCAGGGTTAGGGACAGGGGAAGTTCAGAAGATATATTTATTAAGGGAAAATATTGCTTAAAGTTTGCTGTTTTTAATTTGAATTGTTGAATAAAGGAGTCACAATTCATGATTTACACAATAGTCTATAACTCTTCCCATTCTGAATTCAGCAATCAATATTAGATTTTGAAACTTGCAAGTCAAAATTTGTCCTTATCTAGTCTCCTTACCATTAAGACCAACAAAGGACAAAGATTAGGGGCTGGGGATGCCTATGGCCATTAAAAAAAATTATTAGTGTATGTTTGTAATACAGAATAGTCATGTTCTTTCTGAGGAATTGGTACGTGCATTTAATGCATTTTGACCATTTTTAATCCCTTTTCTTGAACATGACATGATTTCATTCTTCTTTATGGCTGAATAATATTCCATTGTGCATATATATACCACATTTTCTTTATCCTTTCATCTATTGATGGACATCTACACTGTATCCAAAGCTTAGCTACAGTGAACTGCACTGCTACAAATATGGGTGTGAATGTATTAGCATAATATAATGTCCTTAATTCTCTTGGTAATATTCACAGGAGAGGTATAACTGGGTCAAATTTTACTTCTATTTGTAGTTTTTTGGTGAAGCTACATTCTATTTCCATATTGGTCATACTAATTTACATTCCCACCAACAATGTAGAAGGTCGCCTTTTTCCTAGCATCTCAATTTAGTGTTTTTTGTGTATTCTTGATGGTAGCCATTCTAACTGGAGTGAGATAGAATCTCAGAGTTGTTTTTATTTGTGCTTACCTAATGACTAAAGATGCTGAACACTTTTTCACATACTTACTGGCCAAGTGTACTTCTTTTGAGAAGTGTCAGTTCATTTGCCCATTTTTTTATTGGGTCATTTGTTTTGGAGGGGTTAATTTTTTCTAATTAACTTCATTAGTACATTTTAAATATACATAATGATCACACTCATGGTAGGGAATTTGTTTCTATCTCCCCAATTCATTGGGAATGAGAAGTTGATACTATTTTGTCTATCCTCTGGTTCTTTAGGACTGGCCTATAGTATTGTTTATGACCCTCAGACAATCTTGGTCTTGGCATACAAGGAAGAACCACTAATGAGAACAACTATGTCACTTGGCTAATGTAGTACAATCAATAATAACAGTAGCATCAAGTTCAGTCTAGAAAATGACAAACTGTGGTAGCTATTAACCTTTAACCATATGACTAAGATTTGTAGTTATATAACAAAATCTAAAACAGACCAGAAAGTTGTATACAGCAAATATCCCCTCAATAGAGTGATTTTTACCATTAGAGGAGAAAATTTAAAAGGGGTAAGAAGAACAAATAGATATAGAAGGAGAGAAAGAGATTAGAAGTAAGGCTGATGGACAAAGGAAGGTTATGCAAACTTTGGGAAAATGGTTAAAAAGACAACAGGGAAGGAAGAAAGGAAGAAACAGAAACTAGAACAGAATAAAACAACAATAAAAAACTAGAAATTGATGGAGACCACTATGAAGTGGCTCTGAACAGGATTTAATATTAACCAATTGGCTTTTCATGTTTATGTGTGAGTTTGCCTGAGCACTTGTCCAGAGATGGGCAGGTTCAAGTCCCTGTTCAGGCACCAAATATTGGGTTAATAACCCTTAGTTACTGTGGGCTTATCAGGCCCATAATCTCCCAAACAAGTGGACAGCCAAGGCTTAAATAAATGAGACAATTGAAATGATTTCAGGGCTCCAGGAGGGTCCAACCCTCCACAGAATTTGAGATTCTCTGGGTTAAGACCCAGAACTTCCCTGGTTGGCCCATATTTATTTGGTTTTCAAACAAAGGAAGGGGATACTGAAGAAAATGCAGGAATCTGGGCAGGACTTGGGAAACCCTTTAAGGACTTCTCCAGGTAATATATTATGTTAATTTAGGAGAACTATGTTATCTCTAGAAAGGCCTTCACTGCAGGAATGAGATGCCTGCAGCTATAGCCTCCTTTAGCTAATTGTGCTTGGAGCCCAAAGTCCTCAACTGTGGCCTTATCTTGTCCTTTGAGGTCTCCCAACTTCACAGGCCAATACAAGCCTCAGTGGGCACCAGTGACTCATAGACGTTCACTTATTATATGAGTCAGCTGCCCATCTCTGGACAAGGGCCTACACCTCAGGCAAACTCACCATGTAAACATGAAAAGCCAGTTGGTTAATGTTAAATCCTGCTCAGAGCTGCTTCCTGGTGGTCTCCATCAAGAAACAATATTCACACTCATATAAAAACAAGAACAAATATGCAAGAAAAAAATGCACATAAAGGAAGGAAAAAAATACACACTTCATAGCATGTCACTGCTGTCACTCGTAGATAAAGGGGATAAACAGAGCCCAGATCCATGTTTGTTGGTCCCACCAAGCCTGCAATAGAATTACAGCAGAGTGGTGGATAATCTCAGCAAGACTGTGCTTTCAAGTCCACTGAAATTCAGGGTGACTTTGGTTTCTGGCTGTGAGGCTGGTACCTGAGTTGTTTGGCCCACAGCACTCCAGGTACCTCTTGCTGTCTAGAACTAAGCTCCCTGACTCTGAGTGTTTTCCATGGCTGTGCCTTACCCTGACACTGGGCACTCCAAGTTGAAGCCAACCCATGGCTTCTCTGAGTTCTTGGTTCAGCTGGGCCCTTTCCAAAATAGCAACCAGCCAGTCACACTCTCCTGGGGACATCTGGACCCAAATCACTCACCAGCCACTGCAGTCCACAGCATCCACTGCTCTGTTACACTGGTGTATTTCTCCATGGAGATCCTTAAGGTTAACCGTAGTTGTTATGCCTCAATAGGTTCAAGCCAACTCTCTCACATCATGAGCTGGTACTCACGAGAATGTACCGTTTGCCACCTCCCTCTTCTGTGTTGAAGTCCCTCTCTTCACTCTCCCTGTGGGCTCTAGTTCTTGCTTCAGATCCTTGCTGCCTCCCAGGACCCACTTTTCTCCTTTTTCTCTTCCCCACATTGCTATATTCCAGAATCTGGACTCCAAATCTCAGAGAGGGTGATTTGCTGCTGCTCACCACTCTGCCATCTTCCTGAAAGTCCTGGAGGGGTTAATTTTTTTTAATTCTTCATATATCTTGTTGTTAGTCTATCAGTAGATTAGCTAGCAAAATTGTTCTCCCATTGTGTATGTTATCTTTCCACTCTGTTTTCTTTGCCATACAGAAGCTTTTTAATTTGATGCAATCGCATTTACTGATTCTGGATATTATTTCCTGTGCTTTTGGAATTCTATTCAGGAAGTCTTTGCTTATGCATATGGCCTCAAGTATTTCCTGGATGTTATCTTCCATCAGTTTCAGTCTTTCTGTTTTTATGTCTGTATCTTTGATCCATTTTGATTTGATTTGAGTGCAACTAGGTAGAAATCTAGTTCAATCTTCTACAAGCAAATATCCAGTTTTTCCAGAATCATTTGTTGAAGAGGCTATGCTTTCTCCAACATGTGTTTTTGACCTTTTTTTCAAAAATCAGATGGCTGTGGGAATATTAGGTTGTTTCTGTCTTCTATTCTAATTCCTTTGGTCTATGTGATATGAGTGAGTGAGTGTGTGTGTGTGTGTGTGTGTGTGTGTGTGTGTGTGTTTGCAAGTACCATGTTGCTTTGTTACTACAACTTTGTAGTATAACCTTAAATCTGATATTGTGATGCTTCCAGCTTTTCTTTCTGCTCAGGATTGCTTTAGTTATTCTTGCCCCTTTCTGATTCCATATGAGTTTTGAGATTATGTTTCTAGATCTCTGAAGATTTTTTTTGTATTTTAATAGTAATTGTATTAAACCTATAGATAACTTTTGGTAATGTGGACATTTTAACAATATTATTTCTGCTGATCCAAGAACAAGGGATGTTTTTCCATTATTCTATTGTTCTCTTCAGTTTTTTTCTTCAGAGTTCTGTAATTTTCGTTATAAATGTTTTTCACCTCCTGGTTAGGTTGATCCCTAGGTATTCATTTTCTTAAGCTATTGTGAATAGAATTGTTTTCCTGATGTCTTTCTCATTAGGTTCATTATTGGGTACAAGAACAATATTGATTTTGTATCTTGGCCCATGGCCATTTTAACAAAAGATGCAGTGACCTGCTACACATCTGCAGAGCCCTTATTTTCATCTGTCCTGCTCCTTAACAGTGCACACACAACTTCTGTTAGATTTGAGAGACAAAGGCGGCTTGTCCAGGTGGCTAGGGCCAGGGAGGAGGCCTAGTGCATTAATCAAAAAACACCTGAGATGCTGTCATTCAGCAATATATGAGTGTCTGTGAAATGGATTGAACCTTTTTAGCATGTTAAACTTGGATTTGACATGTGATTTGAAGAGTAGGGCACAGTGATGAATAGTGGGGTTCAGATCTGGCTCACAGGGCAAACAGAAGGGCACTGCAGGTGTTGGTTAGGTCACCTGGACAATAATTTATTAAAATGTTTATGCCCCATTTACTGGGCCATAGTTGAAAAGATAAGGAAAAGTTGTGAAATGTGAGCCAGCTGCAAAACTGGTTCTGAATTTGGCTGGGTATGGCAGTTTGGAGGGACAAGAGCTCTAAAAGGGTGTCTCTGGGAAGCCTTATAGTTTGGGGCCCTAAGGAGAAGTTTTGGGAGTATCTGCATCAATCATGCAAGGCAGAGACTGTAAATCTGGTAGGAGTTCATCCTTGTGACCTGCCTATCATCATTTCAGAAGTTTAAATGATAAAAAAAAAAAAAAGTTGTTAGACTTGTTCCCTTGAAAATGATACAACTGCCCCAGGGATACACACTCCAGTAGAATCTGAAGTAGGTAAACTGGTATTTAAAATGTTTTTAACTTTGCTCACAGTTAAATGATAAGGAAAATATTATAGAAGGACACATTGTATCTGGTAAATAAACACAAATAAGAAAAATATAAGCCTGGATGCTGAGAAAATAACTAGAGTCATGCACTAGCTGGAAGCTTTGAAAATTGGTTTGAATACTTTGGGGTGGAAAAATGCAGTGTAATGACTGTCATAAACAATGACCCAGGGATCACATTCGTATTAATTTAGAGTATAAAATAAGGTAAGTGAAAAACTCCATATGTTTAAACATATCTATAACATCAACATTTTAAAAAGCTATAACATAGAAAAATGTCTAAAGAAGTGGCTAATCAATTCTGATAATTCAAATCAATAGAATATTATAAATATTAAACATATAATATAAAAATAGTATGTGAAATATGTGTTGAGTAAAAAAATGAACATAGAATTGTGCATATTCTGTTATTGCAACTCTCTAAAAACTATGTAGAAGTATAGATAAAAATTTGAAGAAACCTTAGAAAAAACTAAATTGTGGTAGTTGTATGATATTGTTATGGATGTATTTAAATCACAAATAATAAAGTATTTGTGAAAAAATTCTGATGAGGAAAAAATTCCGATGAGAGAAATCTAAAAAATAAGATTTCTGACCATTCAAAGCCAGGGAAATGAGGTGACAGCAGAAGAAACAATCTGAAATCCTTTATCCTGATCTAGTGTGAAATAGCACTGGAATCTCTTTTCTCTACAAAAGTACTGTGATTTAAAAAAAATTACAGAGAACAATGATGATTTTTTAGGCTTACTTAGAGAATACAAGATTCTATTAAATATTACTTTAGAAAACTCAAGATATCAGAAAAGGCTGCTTGGTGTTTTGTTTTGAAAACTAGATGGTAAACTTCTTTACCCTGGTGTGCTTCATACCCAAACTCTTTGTAGAGATAAACAAAGGAGTAGTTCTAGCTCAAATCTTAGAGGCTCTAGACTCTCTCAATAGTTTTGAGGGATATGGTCCCAATGGGGCTAAACACTCAGCTAAATATTCAGAGTTTAGTTTTTATGAAAGTTTGCCCTGGGGAGTTTCTGCCAAGCCTAGCCTGCGCCACCTCAGGAAAACTAGCTGCTGTGGGATCACCATACAAAGACCAGCCCTGTGCCTCCTTCTCAAAATGACTTGCAAGAGTGGCAGAATACCTTATGGATCTCGCATAGCTGGGGTGACAGCAATGGTGAGTGGTGGTGGAGGGCATCCTTCAGCCCTTTGGTGATGTGTCACTATAGGGAATTCAGCAGTAAAATAGGTATGGAGCTCTGAGGGTGCATTCCATCCTACACACTCCATGCCAACCCTACAAGGTAAGTCCACAAATCCCTGAAAGACCCAATTCAAAGGGCATACATGTTGGTCATCTGGTTTTGTATAAGGTTGGCAGCGAGCATAGAAATATCAGCTGATGGTAGTGAGAGTCTGCACAGGCTTATACAGCAATTGTCATCACAGTTATGGCAAGGCTTGCTCTTCAACATCCATCATATCTAACAGTTCCCCTAAGTGTTCCTGCACAATGCATACCTGTCCTTCAGAGGAACTCCAAAATACCAAGAAGCAACCCATTATGGGGTAAGGTTGGGAAGAATCCTGCTCTCCAAACCAGCCAGGGAGTCAGGGCTGAATGGCCAAGGATTTGGCACCCAGAAACTGAAAGGGTGGGTCAAGGACACAACAGTATTCTTGTGTTTTCCAGGGTAATTCTCTGCTGTGCATGCCCAACGTGCTCAAGCTGTACTTAGAGAATGGACAGACCAAAGCTTTCAAGTTTGAGGAAAACACAACTGTGAAGGTATTAAAAATAAACTTGAATCTCTTTCCTAGAAGAATTTGCTGGCTCCAAGGACTCCAGGCTTCTTCTCCGGCATCTGCCTTGATGGTCTCATAATCACCATGGTCTGAGCACCTGAAATAAGCCAAATACTGTGTTTTATTACACCATAGCCAACAGGATAGTGGGGTTTTGTTATCATATATTGCAGGAAAGGAAATTAGGACTCAGAGGAGAGCAGTGAGTTGCATGAGATCATATTACAACTCTTAGAACTTCATGCTTAACCACCAGACTTCCCTACTCCTTGTCTGTGGCTCTACTTACTGCACAAACACTAGAGCAACTAAACTCCGGATGAGATATGTGGACAAGCTAGGTGCCTACATATTCTGTTCTGCTCTGAAATCGGTTCACCTGGTACTTCACGAGCTCTCCTACTTGAAATGCTCTTACAGGGTTTGGAGAACCTGGTAAAGCATGGTCTGTCTTTGGGAGCTTGCAGTCTAGTTGAAGGAGGGTGGACATCCCAGGAACTCCTAGTAGTCCAGGGCAAGATGAAGTAAGGGCTGTAAAGAGAGAAGCGAGGGAAGTGCTATGTGTGTAATGCAAAGCACTGTATCTTACTTGTGGTCAGAACATCAGCCAAGGCTTGGGAAAGAAGCTGTGCCTGAGCTGAATTGTGAAGAGCATCTAAGATGTTAACAAAGGCAGGCAGGACAGGGCAGTTGTAGGGTGAATTGCACATCAATCTAAGAGAGTTGCATGAACTTACACATAGAGCTAGGAAAATGGGCATTGCAATAGCAAACATCCAGCAGGAGCATGGGCTGGGAGAGGCCACCAACAGTCTCTAGTGCTAGGCAGCAAAATCTGTATTTCATCCATAGACAGTGATGGTACCCTTAGTACTTGGTCAAGCAAAGAAATGATGTTAGAGTGAGATTGTAGTGAAGAAGCAAAGCAATTAAACTTGGTCAAATCTATGTATGAATAAATAAACATGGGGCCTAGCTCCTCCAGGCCTGTGGGAGAACAGATTTAGGGAGACTGACACAGATAAAGGTAAAGGACAGTATTTATGACACGTGCACACATACGCACAAAGCACGCACCTAGTGTTTCTTTCTAGCACTTTCCTGTGGCAGTTCCTTGGGCTGCTCCCAGTGCCCTGTCCTGGTCTTACATAAGTGCAATTTAGGGAAAGCCTTTGTAAACGGACGAAGTTCAAAGCCCAGAAAAAAAATGAAGGGCGAAGTGGATTTATGTGTTGATTCCACACCAGCCACTTTCCTGGGCACATCCTTGTGTACTATATTATTTAATGTCCCAATAACTTTGTGAAGTGACTAGTGTTATACCCACTTTGCAGATGGGAAAATGGGACCAAGTGGTTGCAAACTTGCCAAGGTCTGCTAGCCCATAACTTCAAATTTGCTGTATTTTTAAACTCCCCTGGAGCATTCTACCTGCCATTCTGCATAAAAAGGAAAATTTTACAAGTGACTTACACAAGAGCTTTACCTCTGTCATCCTTGATCAAAGTAGATTGGAATTGAAGGATTGATTTATTTAAAGTGAGTTCCCCTTTAGTGGCCTAAAACATTTTGAGGTGATTTATAATAAAAGTCTACATCACTGGGAAATTAAACCCAAGACGATGGAAGTGAATGAGGACTGGGCCAGTATAATACTAGCTATCTTATCCGTAGTAGCCTTTTTTTCTTTTTGGCACTGGGGATTAAACCCAGGCCTTCACAATGAGCTACATCCCCAGCCCTTTCAAAATTTTTAAAATTTTTTCCTGAGGCATGGTATCACTGTTTTCCAGATTGGTCTTGAACTTGTGATCCTCCTACCTCGACCTCCCATAATGTTGGGATTGCACATGCCATTTTATAAAGTAAATAGATCTTTATGAAAGAGAGAAAAGCAGCTATAAACAAATCTTATAGCTAAAAAAAAAATCATTGTCAATTCATCAGTGACTTCTCTTTCCCTTTTCCTTGCTAAGGGAAAAATGCTTCTTGTATCAAAAAACCCTTTTCTGAATCAAAGGAGATAATGTCATTTGACCCGGTGAACATTTACTGATACCTTTTGTGTACCAGGCATTTTGGTATCACGTGGCTCTTGGTGATATGAAATGAATTGCCCAGAGTCACATCCTCAGGAAATCTAGAGAGTTAGGGTGGAGCTGAGGTGAGGGCAGCTTACTAGGAAATAAGATAGGCTATGATGAGGACCATGAAAGTGAGACAGAAATGATTTGGGATTACTAATTGAGAGTTATAAATGAAAACACTGAGCATATAGACAGTAAGAAGTTTGTCCAAGGATTCACAGCTGGTGTTAGGTCTAGAACCCATTCACTTCGCTACACAATCTTTTATTAAGAAATACAACTGTTATTAAAAACTGGTATGAAACAGTGATAAAGGAAATAAAGATGGCCCTGGCATGGAGAATAATAGTAACGATGACATTTAGGTACAGTGGCCAGAAAAGGACTCTCTGAGGAGGTGACTTTTGAACTGATACTTGAAGGGTGAGAAACAGCCATATGTAGTGGGAAAAGTGTGCAGGCGGAGGGAACAGCATGTGTGCGTGCCCTAAGGCTTTCACAATGACTGAGGGCTGCTGAAGTGAACCAGGGGAAGTGTGGCCTGGTAACTAGCATGCCCCAGCACAGCATTTATTGTCATTCCATCCTTCCAGCCACCTGGAGAAGGCAGACATCTGTATCCTCCATTTCATTTCACAAAGGAAAAATCTGAGGCCAGAAATGTAGGTCAGTTTCCCAGGGTCAAATATCAGGTGTGTGGTTAGACTCGGACCAGAAAGCAGTTGTCAGTACAGACTGGGAACTCGGGAGAGAAGATGAACCTAGACACTGAGGAGAGAATAGAAGCCCCCACTTGTGGTTTCCACCTTCCAAGTAGTGTAAGAGCGGTTGCCAGTGAGTAGCCCTGGATCCTGGCAGTGCAGGGGGTAGTGGTGCAAGGCACGAGAGGCTAGAACCCTGCCTGAGTTCACAGTTCACTCAACTGCACACACTTTTCCCTTTTGAGAAGTAGTGAGAAGGCCATAAAAGGCCACGCTGGGTAACTTTGCACTGTGTCTGCTAGGACATCATTCTCACAGTGAAGGAGAAGCTGTCGATCCGCAGTATTGAGTACTTTGGGCTGGCCCTAGAAGAGCAGTACAACATCTCCCGACTGCACCTGCTACATGAGGAGGAGCTCATCCAGCAGGTAGGGAAGGCAACAGATTTAAGGCCACCTGATCGGGGGAGGCACGAACAGGGCTGGCTCAGACCTCAGCCAGAACCTTTGGGGACAGGGCTCAGCACATCTGCAGGTTTGATGCACTTTCTCCCACCCAAGTAGACACCAAGTTTGCTCAGTTTGGGGCTAACAGGTTAGGGATTAGCCCTGATTTTTATCTGCTCCTATGAGGTAGGCAGGGCACAGATTTAAGATTCCTATTTTGCAGATGTGAAAGTAGAGGCTAGAGAGGCAAGATGATTTTTCTCAAAGTAACACAACTAACAGAGCCCTGATCTTTTGCACCTGCTGCTTTTGAGCTGTGGTGGAAGTACTGGTTGTTGTGTCCAAGCTTCTCTTTGAAGGTGGTCCCCGATGGCAGGATAGGGCAAGTACGTCCAGTCCATCTCCACCACTAAATCATTCAGCTGTTCAGTAATTTGCTGGACCAGCTTCTTAAGGCCAAACACAGGTCAGCTCAACAAATCCTTTTCAGATATTAGCATTACAAACATAAGTAGGAGTTCAACAATAAGAAAGAAGAAGGGGCTTTAAGCAAGGGAAGAACGTGAGGAAGGCATCACCTCAACCTGTGATCCCCAATCACCCACCTATCATGTTTGCTGCTTGAGCACTTTTTAAAATTACTTGTATTGCTGTTGCATTGAGAAAGAAAATCAAATTACATCCCTAAGACAATTAATGTAAAAAAAAAGTATGGAATGGTATGCAGACTGTGTTATTATTTGTAGAAAAGGAAAGAATATGCATCTATCAAATATGCATATATGAGTAGACTGTCTCTGGGAGGACACTTGGGAAACTTCAGAGTGGTTTCCTCTGGAAAGGGGAAAGGGGAGACAAGGCAGTGGGAAATATCGCTCTTCTGAACCTTTCACATTTTATCCCCATGGGAGGGAAAGATCAGGAGCAAAGGTCCACAGTTGTCTTGGAAACCACTAACGCAGAAACTAGGGACTATCTTTCATTGTCTTTTTCCTTTTCAAAGTTGTTTTGTGGGATCAAAGGCTGCAAGGTCAAAGGCATCTGGAAGATTAACAGTATCTTCTGTGTTCTTTACCCATGGCAGGTGGTGGAAAGGGAGGAGTCACATGACTCCCGCTGCCTCTTCAGAGTGTGTTTTGTCCCCAAAGACCCCCTGGACCTCCTGAAAGAAGATCCTGTGGCTTTTGAATACCTCTACCTGCAGGTGACTGGGTCTGTGCTTACTGAAATAACAGTTGTGTCTTCAAAGATGGCATGTGGAGTTATTCTGAACATGAGCTCAGGGCAATTAAACAACCCCTGGCAGGGATTATCTTTTTCTGAAGAACAGGACTGATTATCCCTCAGAGTTCCTTTTCCTGTTCCTGAGTTATTGTAATGGGAGATATGCAATAGAATAATGGAATTTAGATTCAGTCCTCAAAGTGAATGATACATTTCCTAATACCATTTAAGGCTTGTTATCATTTCAGTTTTTATTGCTGAAAGAGCTTTAGTGCTTCAAAGCCTCTTGTTAGAGATGATGAAACTGAGTCTTGGAAAGGTCATGTGGTTTGTCTGGGTCACCCACTTAGTAGCAGAGCCAAATGCTAGTTTCTTAACCCCTAACCAAGCCCTCTCCTCTAGTGTACCTCCCTAGGTAAGGTTTATTATGTCAACTTTATTTGGATGAAAAGAATTCTTTGGGAGGAATAACCATCCTACAGAGAGATCTCCTGGACTAGGGGGATTGACTCACCCAAGGTCTTACAGAAAATAATGAAAGCAATGATGCTGTCAGTGCTTTATATTTTTATACTACTGTGTGCCCTGTACCTGCTTTCATAGGCATTATCTTGCTTAAACTTTGCAGAAACTAGGTAAAATAGATTCAACGATCTGTATTTAGTAATGGAAGATACCAGTACTCAGAGTAATTTAACCAGGTCACACAACCAGTAACTGTCAGAGACAGGCCTCAAGGCTGAGCTGTTGATCCTGTTGCCTTTCACCTGAGAGAACTAGAAGATGTAGTATACTGTTCTTGTTTCCCAACTCCTCTATTTGATTTCTTCTAGAGCTGCAGTGACGTGCTACAGGAGCGCTTTGCTGTGGAAATGAAATGCAGCTCTGCACTCCGGCTTGCAGCTCTACATATCCAGGAGCGGATCTATGCATGTGCCCAGCCACAGAAAATCTCTTTGAAATACATAGAGTGAGTGGCAGGGGACAACAGCTGTGCTGCATTTGTGACTCTGCTGGCCTCTGGCCAAGATAGCCAGACTCCACAGGAAGCGGATATTCACCCTCCCATACCATCTGTCCTTGTCTTTTCATCCATTTCCCTCTCCATCTTTTTCCACCTGGCTTGGTTCCCCCAGATGTCAGAACCTGGATGCTCCCTCTGGGGCAGAAGCCAACTCCAGATGGAATGACACAGGATTCCCTTGTAAATTCCTAGCCCCTAGGAGGATATCTGGGGCAGTCAGTTGATAACTTCAATGTTAAGCTTTTCTAAGGGCAGGAATGCCTTGGAAATTGATCCTTTCTACGTATATGAACCAATTCCTATTACGTTAAACACAAACTAGGGTAATATCAAGTTCTAGGATGCTAACACCTCTTCATTTTGAGTTTAGAATTGCTCTGAGTGGTACCACCCAGGTTTTCTAAGCCCCTCTCCAAATCTTAGCTCTATCCTGCCTAGGCATCAAAATCATATAGGGAATCATATTTTTAGAATGGAATAGATCCCTGGTCCCTCTCCTGATACTGAGTCATATCACTTGGGAGTGGGATCTGAGATGCCGTGTGTGTGTGTGTGTGTGTGTGTGTGTGTGTGTGTGTCCGTGTTTCAAACCCAGAAACCCAGAGGCACACACCTAGCCCTGATGATGATGATGATGAGGATGATGGTGATGATGATGGTAGTGGTGGTAGTGTTAGTGGTGGTGGTGCAGTGGGGAACCCAGGCCCTTTGCCCTGAGCTACATCTCCAGTCTTTTTTTACATTTTTAAATTTTGAGACAGGGTCTCACAAAGTTGCCAAAGCTTGGCATCAAACTTGGAATCATTCCGTCTCAACATCCTGAGTACTTGGGATTATAGGCATGCACTGGCTTTGAGATGCTATATTTTTAACAAGTTTGTAGGGGCTTTTGAGGCTACTAGGTTGACACCATTCTGAAGCTTAACTTTGGGATTTCATAAGTGCTCTGTGTTAATCTACAAGAGTGTGTTTGAGGGCCAGGGACATAGCTCAGTGGCACAGTGCTTGCCTGGCAAGCACAAGGTATGAGTTCGATTCCTGGTACCAAAAGAAAAAAAAAAAAGAGTATATTTGAGCAGAGAATGTAACCAAGTGGTAGAGTGCTTGCCAGCTATGTGCAAAGCCCCAAGTTTCATCTGCAGCACCAAAAACAAAACAAAAGTGTGTTATATATACATAATCATATATGCATATTGTAGTGAAAAAGTTTAAGAACACTTGCCCTCGATAATGGAATATCACACCACACCAGAATGCTCAATGGGGCTTGACTCTTGAAAGGTTGTGGTGATTTTTTTTTTTTTTCCTGGTACCAGGAATTGAACTCACGACCTTGCGCTTGCCAGGCAGGCGCTGTGCCACTGAGCTAAATCCCCAGCCCGGTTGTGGTGGTTTTTTCAGAGTATATAATTTGTGTCTATGAGGGGGGGAAATAGATAGATTGGTGGATGGATAGATAGATAGACAGATAGACAGACAGATAGACAGATAGATAGCCTTTTCACTGAAAAAGAGGCTCATGACTGCTGTATTATAGGGACACTAATAAGTACCAAGTCAAATGTAATTACACTCTTTATTAGCACCAAGTACACTGTAAAAGTGGGCCTCTTTGTCTGCAATGCAGGAAAGACTGGGGAATAGAGAACTTTATATCTCCAACATTACTCCGAAACATGAAAGGCAAAGACATCAAGAAAGCCATTAGTTTCCACATGAAGAGGAACCAAAACTTGCTGGAACCCCGGCAGAAGGTAATACAGCTGCTAGACCCTGCTAGCCCTCCCAGCTGGCTGTTGCGAAGCCTCAGGGAGAATGTTTCCAACATTGCTTGGATTTTAGGCACACGAGTAATTCTGTCCATAACAATCTTTTTGTTTTTTCAATTTAAGCAACTTATTTCTGCTGCTCAGTTACGTTTAAATTATCTACAGATCCTCGGAGAACTAAAGACATATGGTGGGAAAATCTTTAATGCTACTTTAATGGTACGTATCAGGGAACTCTGAAATCCTGTTCCTATGTTTGACCTTCCGCAAATCTATGTGTTTTTTATACATCCTAGAATTCCTGAGGACTCTGCCATGTACTAGCATTTGTTTGGGAAACTAAATATTATGCCCCTGGCGAGTATTTATCATATCCTTGCTTAGTATTAGCCCAAGGGAAAATGCTGAGGGAGGCAGAGCTGAATCAGATGTGGCGTCTGCCGTCAAGGATAAATCAAGCTGTCCAACAAGACAAAGCAAAGTCATGAGACTGCTGTGGGGTTTAAAAACAGAGGGTACTAGGACTGACTTAGAGTATAAGGAGAGAAGGCATTAAGGATAGGGAAGAAAGGTGACTGGGGCAGACCTCAGTCTAGAGGAAAGGCATTTTAGGTAAAGGGTGTTGTAAGTGATACATTGTGAAACTTTGAATATATGAAGATGAAGAGGGAAAATTGGGAATCATGAAGGAAAGTTAGGAAGTTCGTCTGACTGCCAGGCTGGGGCCCTAATTGCTCAGACAAAGGGAAGAACTGAGAAAGAGCAAGAGAAACAGAAGAGCCCTCTACTCTGCCCTTCTTCCTCCTGTTCCTTGTTGGAGCCTAGGCGTGGAGCGTGTACTTTTCGATAGTCAGTGTCTGAGGATGTGGCTTAGGAGGACCTCCCCCACTGCACAGTCGGAACCCCAGAGCTCTCCAGCACAGTCCAATTTACAGTACCATTAGAAGGGGTTTTTTATTTAACAAAATTGCTTTCAGAGGCTGTATTGTGCCTCTCAGTCATTTTCAGCAATGGGTCCATTCAATCAGAGTGCTGACCTAACAGTGTAAGTAGAAGAAGAGAATCAGTGTTTTGAAGAAAAGGAAGAACATTAAGTAGTTGGGCAAAGGGGAAAAATAGATGGAGTCTTTATGTAAATAAAAGATCTAAAAAGTAGACAAGAGATTATTTCACAGAAACAAGGCTTTCAAGGTACAAGGAAAACTTCCTGATGTGTTCAAGGGCTAGAATTCCTGTCCCCAGTCTCCCTGTATCTTTCCTGTGTAAAGAAAGAACTGGTAATGGGAAAAGCAGCCAACCGCACATAATGGCTCAGGTACTGGCTTGCTGAGTGCTGGAGGTTACAAACATAGATAAATACAACTCTAATGCCAGAAAACATAAGATAAAATACAAAGCATGAAATAATTAGAATAAGTAGTACATGTCCAGTGCTATCAAAGAAGTAAAGAGGAAGTGGTAATAGCAACAACACAGAGAAAAGGGCTGTTGTGGTTTGAGAAACCGAACTTAACACCTGAAATCCTCTTAAAGCCAAGGAATGGTATTGAAGGTCTCTAATTTCCTATATGGCAGATGCTTTAGGTCGGTAAGTAGGTTTTGGTATAAACTTCTAAAGAAGAGTCAGAATTGCAGTCTGCAATGATTAGAGGGAAGAGGTTGTATTTATGGAACATGTTAGAGTCCTCTATTGGAAATAGTCTTACAGGAGATAAGTATATTCTTAATGTAGCTTTAGATGGGTCTCAAGCTTGGCAATAGTCTCACGGAGTAGTAGTGAGAACCTAAAGTAGGAATCATAGAGTTGGCGAAGAGAAATATTGTTTCTTACACGTGCAACGTGTTTTCACTAGCTTCTGAATGGATACTGATTCCCCTTCCACCCTTCTGCAGTTACAGGATAGAGAATCTTACATTGCCCTTCTGGTTGGAGCGAAGTATGGAATTAGCCAAATTATCAATAGCAAACTCAACATCATATCAACACTGGCAGAGTTTGCCAGCATCAGCCGTGTAGAGTTGACAGAAGAGTCTGAGAAAGTGAGCATGGTCAAAGTATATCTTCAGGACATTAAGGTAACAAGGTGGGGAGAGATTCTGAAATCCAGCTTCTGGATTTGGGGGCTAAATTATTCTATGGTAGTTTATATGAGTTTTGAACAGTAATAAAGTTTGATGTTCAACATCTCCTTACAAGAATGGATTGTCTACCCTGTCCCATTGAATAGCAAGTGGTAAACAGGGTACATTAACCTGAGAAGATCCAAAAGGATTTTTTAAAATTCTGGTTTATTTATTTGTCTTTGTGTAAATTGAGCTGAACTATATGCTTTCCTGACGCAAAGTTCTGAACCCAAATTTTGTTGGATTCAGTAGGTAAATTGGGAACACCAGAGGATTTTATCCCATACATTGGACCAGAATGGCTGCCTAAGGGCTTTGAATGGTAGAATTTAAAATGGATAAATAGTTTAAGACACCTGCTCAGCCTCTCTGGAAGGCTCTACACTTATCATTCCCTCCCTTGATTTAACCCAACATGCACAGAATGATGTTTTATTATTCATACCCCTCTTTCCCTTATTCTGCATTTGTTTATTTTCCTTTTCTAAGTCAGGTTTTGAAAAGATCTCATTGTATGAATAAGCAGGGTGAGAGGGCTGGGTGGGATCTGAGTTTGGGCTAGAGGTCAAAGAGAAAGGAGAAACTGTACAGATTGGTCCGTGCATAAGTGTGTATAGATGTTGGCATGTGTGATTGCTTGTGTGTTATCCACATATGATCACTGAGATCCTTACACAGGAGAATAGGGGCATAATAAGGCCTATTTGTGGACCATGGCCAAGTCTATTTGGAATTTTTCTTTGGTCCCACAAGGCTTTGTCCCTTGGCCCTTTATAAACAGAAAAATTCTCCTTGATTTCAAAGGTTCTAACGTTGCTGCTGGAATCCAACAGTGCAAAAGACCTAGTCTGCCTGATTGCTGGGTACTACAGGCTGTTTGTCAACCCAGTTATCTCCATTTTCCACTGGCCTGGACATAGACAAGTACATCGGGTGTCTGCTGAAGAAGGTGAGGCACTAGCTCTTGCCCCAGTAAGGACAGGCCCATTTCACTGGTCTCAGAGATAAGAGCGGGCTAGAGAGGAATGGTGAGCGGTGTTGAGCCGAGACTTGAACTGAAGTAAATGAGAGCTTTTTCTTCATTTATTTCCAAGAAAAGAGTTGCTCTCTCTTAAATACTAAAGAAGCTTTGTTTGTATCTGAAATTTTCCTAAAACCAAGAAATACTGTTGAAGGTCTCTGATTCCCTGTAGTATTTCCTGAAATTATCTCTAAAATGCTATATTCTATCATTTCTCAGCATAGAGAGATGTAACACATGTTCAAAAAGAAGTTAGCTGTTCTCTTCCATGCCTCTGTGCTCTATAACATGCTCTTCAATTTTAATGGAAATTCTCAGCCTTGCATGTTTAGAAGAAAGGGGTACCTGCAGACAAAGGAAACTTAAAAGCATAGCGTGTGAAGAATGAAGAAGTAGAGGGTAGGTAGGTCCCCAGGCCGTCTTCCAGGGTCCATCTTCAGGCTTTTGCTTCAGCACTATCCTATTGATGCAGCATTTTCCCAGGGGTATGCTGATAAATGTTTAACAATGTCTCTACAGGGGGAAAAAACTCTGACTTGTAACAGTTGTCCAATTCTGTGATATAAACACTCCTATTATGGCCAATTTCAGGCTACCAATATGACACCTCTGAATGTAGAGGTGGGAAGAGGTGCTTAATAACATGCTGGTATGTGGTGTTTCCTTAACATGAGTAGAACAGGTATAAATCATCTCAAGAGAATAGATAATAGTAAAATAAAGTAAAATGCCTACCAGGTCATCTGTGGAAAATTGATTTCAGAACACCCCCAGGGATACCAAAATCCACAAATGTTCAAGTCCCTTCTATAACATGGCATGGAATTTGTATATAACTTGTGCATATCCTCCTGTATGCTTTAAATCATCTCTAGATTACTTATAATAGTTAATACACTATGAATGCTAGGACTGTAGCTGTTAGATTGTACTGTTTAGAGAATAAATAAGAGACAAAGTCTGTATGTATTCAGCACAAGGAAAGCTCTTTTTCCTAAATATTTTTAAGCCATGAATTTACAGATGTGGAACCCACAGACAGGGAGGACTAATTATAGTCAGGATGTGATGAGTTTGAGTATTTGTTTTCTTTGTTTTTGTGCAATGTATTTATGAATAACAGATACCCCAGAGTCTGGTCAGGGAGACGGTGTGAAAGCAGTCCCGATAGAAGGTGGTGGCAGGAAGCATCTCTCCTGCTTCCGAGAGGGCAGGAACTGAAGTACGTCTTGAAGAACAGGTAACAAAGGCAGACATTCAAGGAGAGGAAACATGGAGGCTTGGAAACAAACATGGAGACAACAGGGCAAAGCCAGGTTCTGTGAGGAGCTCTGAGTGTAGTTTGGGCGTGGTGGAGAAGGCAGCAGCAGGCACCCAGGCTGCTGAGGAAGTGTCGGGCCATCCTCTGAGGGCTTGTGGCAAGGATACTGAGGAGGGCTCAGAGTCATACTGTGAGAATGGCAACAGACTTTGGTAGAGGTGGTCAGGGTCATCCTGTGGAGGGGATGACTAGACAGCAGAAGAAGAGTCTAGGCCATCCTGTAGAGGGTTTGACTAGACTGTGGGTCAGGGCCTTACTGTGAGAACCAGTGGGGAGACTCCTGAGGAGGGGAGTAGGTCAAGACCATCCTCTGGGAGGAGCAACAAGGCTATATATACTGTGAGAATCTTTCACTCTCACAGGACAGATTCACCTTTTCCCTCTAGGCCAGAGAACATACAAAAGTTTCAGCAGAGTAAGTTGTATCAGAAAAGTTTTATGGGAAAAAGTCTATAGACCTGGCTCAATGTCCCACACCCTGCCACCATGCGTCCCTTCTGGGTACCTGCAGCTAGATGATTTTGCACTCTCCTAAAAGACCAATACTATCAGGAGATTTCCAAGGCCAGGCTTCAAAATGGTGTCAACCTAGTAGGATCAGAATCCCCATAAAGGCATTAAAAATAGATTCTTAGGTATCAGTCCCTAACAGTTTGATTTAGTTCCTCAGGGCAGGCCTGAGGACCTGTTTTGTGTTTTAAATGTAATTTCCTGTATGATTTTGATTCTCAGGACAGAGGTGAGATTTTGGGAGAAACTTAAGCATAGGTGAGACCGCCCATGGCAAAGGGAAATCCAATAAAATACCCACCACATCTCCTTGTGGAGATACGTCTTCTTGGAAGGAGACATGGATTAATACTGTCTTGTTAGGTAGCTCAGATAGCTGTGGGACAGGTAGCCTATGACGTAGAAAGGGCAGGAGGAAATGCAGGCATCTCCCAGTCCTGGATGTTTCTAACCCTCAGAAACCCCTGTGTTGCAGGTTATGAGTCCAGGGCCTGCAGTGACTCAGAAGAGTCCTCTGAAGTGGACTGTGTGCTGGAGCCTCTCTGTAACAGACGCCTGAAGAAGCTGGGCCCCTGTAGACCACTCATCGAAGAGGAGCAGTCCCCCAAGAACAGCCTCACTCCTGAGGTGGCCAGGAGGGGCCCGAGCACCTGTGCAGCCAACAGCACAACAGACAGTGCGGAGTCCGAGGCATCTGACTCAGCCAACACCGAGAGCCGAGGCTGCAGGACGAGCGGTTCAAGTGAGTCCATGGATGCCCTGGAGGAAGATGACTTAGATGCCTGTTCCTCCAGCAGGTCTGGCTTCTTCCACTTCAGCTCTCCAGGCTTCTCAGAGGGTCTTGATTCTAACAGCCAAGAGGAGAAAAACAGGATTGAGACGAGTGGCTTCCTCTGTCTCCTGGACCTGGCCCAGAGTGCCAACCCTCACTGCCTGAAGACACAGTGTTCCCAGAGTACTGCTCCTGAAACCTGCAGCTGGGGACCAGAACTGACGACGGGCAGGCTGGACCCCAGGCTGTATGAGGGCAGCCGGACTGATTATTACAGCCTGTGCTCCAGCGTCTCTCCAGCCAGCCACTTGAGCGACAGTTCAGAGAGCACAGCTTCCCGGCAGGGGGGCGCGCCAGCGGTCTGGGGCCAGCACGGCTGGACTGAGGTCCAGCCAAGCTCCACTCTGGAAGGCCTGTCCCTGCGTCTTCCACTGGCCTTTGAGGATGGCAGCTCAGATGAGGAATACTATGACGCAGCTGACAAGCTCACACCCCCAGACACCCTCTCAGGTGAGCCCTTCACAGCAGGTCTGCAGCTCTCAGGCAGCTCCAGAGGGTCAGGACCAAGCTTGAGAGGAAGACACAAGTAAAATGAGGTCATTGTTCACTCTTGAGGAGGCAGACCTGGATTCCAGGGCCAAATTACAAGCAGGATGGCTGTAAGTCAGGACTAGGAATAAGCAGAGATGGCAGTGATTCATTCCACTGTGGGAATCATGGAAGGCTTCCCAGAAGTGGTAAAAAACCTGGCTGGGCCTTGTAGAGTGGGCAGAATTCACAAAAAAAGAAAAGGACTTGACAAAAGTGCCTGACAGGGGGGTGCTGTGTCATTGTTGACCTTGAGGTGACCTTAAATGAGACCTTGAAGCAACAACAACATAATAGATTGTTGATGGCACTGAAGGCCTTCTGGGGCCCAAGGGACCCTGAAATCAGAAGACAGGGGATCTGTTGGCTTTGTCTCTGTCAGGCTCCTTGTATGTTCACCCACAAAGAGTGTGGATGTCTTTCCACACGGAATAACCTCCCAAGCCTACCTGAGAGTCTTGTAGGTTACATGTGAGTGTGCACATGTGCATGCACACGCACGCACGCACACGCGCACACACTCACACACACACACACTCTACTTTGAAGGAAAAATATTGGAAACAGCACATAGAGATTGAGGGTGACCTCCGAGGACCTGGAAGAGCTGCTGCTCTTCCCCTTCTGTCTCAGAGCTTTCCTTTTGCTCTCTGGTCCTCTGCGTCCCACCCTCCAGTGGCTTCCTTTGCCTGAGGAAAAGGCCATTCCTGAGTGGGCTGTGAAGCCCTCTGTGGCAGAGCCTCTGCCTATCTCTCTCTTCCCTCCTGAGCCCCCTCTATATTCCTGCCACCTCCTTGCCTTCTTGAGGGGGAAGGAGATCAAGGGATTAATTTCCTAGCTATAGGGAATTTTTTCATGAGAAGTTTATTTTCCTTTTTCTTTTACTTCTAAATTTCCAGTGTATTAATTTTTATTAGTACATGTTTGCAGTGCCTAACGTTCACTTTCCAAACTCTTTCCCACCGCTGGTCTTTGTACCTGCTGCCCTCTTTGCCCTGATCCTCTCCTGCTGGATGAATCCCTCTGTCAGGTCACAGAGGGAGGTTCACTTCTTCAGAGAACATTTTTCAGTTTCACAGACCAGGGCAGGTCTCTCCAGCTTGGTACATGTTCTGCAGTTTCTTATTTCCTTGTACGATTTTGTGCTGAGGTTTCTTTCCCCCACCTGACTGAGCACTCCTTCAGCACAGTGTCTATGTGTTTCTCGCATCTCTGTCTCGTCACTGTGTCCCCAACACATGGCACTGGCAATTGTTGCTCCATGAATGAACTCTCCACCACCTACCCTGAATTCACTTACTGAATATGTCTGGCTATGGGCAGACTGCATTGCTCCCCTAAGAACTCCACCAACTGCCTTGCATACTCCCTTCTGCCTTTCCCCACTAGGCCAGCCATCATGCTGGGGGAAGGATGGGGTGTGAGAGGACCTATCGGGCAGGGCCCTTTTATCAGAGTCTGTTCATGTCCATAGGTGGCACTGTTTCTCACGGGGAAAGAGCCAGTGTTGGTACTGAGCAGAGCCCGGGGATCCCTCTCTGGGCCTCCAAACTCCTTTAGTCCCTGGCTACAGGTAGCTGAGGCAGCACCTCTCAAACATGGCTGAGGATCTCAGGATCACCTGAGAGATCTTGTTTAAAACTAAAGATTCCTCACTGCTAGCTTCAGAGATTCTGATTTAGAGGTCTGAGAAGTGGCCTAGGATTTAATATGTACAGTGCGGCTAGATTGGGAATGACTGGTTATGTATCTGAGTCCTCTGATTCTCAAGTACTCAGGTTCTTCCTGACTGATTGTAGCTGAACCCCAAGACTTCTTCACAACACTGCTCCTCTTCTCAGAAAGAGCACCCAGCTTAAACCCCTTATGTCTGTGGCCAAAGGGCAAGGTCCCTATCTGTCGAAAGAAAGCCCCCTTGGTACTCTCACACATGAGATGACAATAACAAAAATAGCAGCAGCTCTCTTTTTTTGAATGCCTATGAGGCACAGGCCTTGTGCCAGGCACTAGCACTAATTCAGCTCATCTGCATTGCAGCATGTATTGGTACCATTGGTGCTGACTGACTTGAGTTAGTGTGGGCACAAAGAAAATGTACCAGAAGGATATAAGAGCTCATAGATTGCTGGCAGGCCTCAAGAACTGGGTTCAAACGTGGAGGGCAACCAGGCCAAAGTCCAGGTAGCAGAATTCCTCACCTGTGGTAACAGGATATTGTGGCTGGAAAAGATGGGCTATACTTTTATTCTTCATTTTTAATCCACATATTCCAGTTTGAAACCCTAGGGAATTTGCAGCTGACCGGCTGGGTCATAGATCTGATCACTTGACTGGTGTCACAGGTCACCTTTATTAATAATTCCATGGATTGGGGCTGTAGCTCAGTAGAGTTCTTGTCTAGTATGCATAAGATCCTGGGTTTGATCCCCAGCCCTACCAAAAAATAAATAATAGCAACAAAAATAATAATCATAATCATAATTATTATTATGATTATTATTATTCAAGCCAACAGCCACTGGGGAGATGTAATCCCCTAAAAGGAAATCTGGAACAAATTTTGTGTGATCAAAAGACAGTGAAATAGATCTTGAGCAACCAAAAATCAAAAACTATCAAAATTATTATTCTTATCTTACCAATGAGGAAATTGGGGAGATCAAAATTTAACCTTCCCAAGGTTACACAGTCCAGCTAGGATTTGAACCCAGACAGATTCAAGTTCTGAGCTCAGTCTCTGCAGACCTCTTTGTTTTTCTTCTCCTTATATACTTTTTCTTTTCCTGCTTTCCAGGGCCTAGACCCACTTCTGCCACAAAACCCAGTGCCACAGACTGGCAGAGTCAGGCCAGCGCTTATAGCCCCAAGGATAGTCTGTATCCTGGGCCCCACGGAAGAGAGCCGAGCAGAAGAGGAGGGGTGAAGAAGTACGCCAGGACCCTTCGGAAAAGAAGGTCCTTCCTGCAGACTGACTATACCTCTCAGGTCTCCTTTCCCTTGGTGCCATCAGCCTCCCTGGAGAGTGTGGATGATGTGTGCTACTATGACAGGGACCCCTACCTCAGCATCGGTGCAGCCTCTCCAACTGTGTCCTCCCTGCAGGACATGCAAGGTGAGCCAGGCCTCCTGGAGACCAAGGCTCTGGGGCTGCTGGCTCCCCTGAGGGAGACTCAGAACAAAAATCCAGCCTCCAGGGTCATGGAGATGGAGCCTGAGACCATGGAAACCAAGTCGGTCACCGATTCTCGGGTGTCTTCTATCTCTGCCATTCGTCTCCGGATTGATCCCAACAATAAAGAGAATTCTGAGGCTCCCCATTTGGCCACCACTGCTGATAATCCCTTAGCAAGCAGCCTTCACTGCCCCAACGTAGCTTCTTCTGGTCCAGAGACTACTCAGACAAAACCTTTCCAAATCATATGTCCACTTCAAGAATCAGATGTCACTGCCCCCAAAGAACTCACCGTAGATCTTAGTGACAGCAACTTCCCTCTCTCCAATGCTGATCCTAACCCAGACAACCCAGAGTCACATAATGTCTCTCAAGGAGACACACTAGAGCTGGGAGACATCCAATTGGAAGTGGAATTGGGATCTTTTTTTACAAATCATACACAGGAAACCGGCCCCCAATACACAGAGACTTTGTTGTCCCCTGGAAATGGGCCTAGAAGTGATAAATGTGAAATAAGTTCAGGAGAGAAGGCCTCTATCCCTACAGAGGAGGAGCAACAAGGACAACTATCTTTGGAAAGTGACAACGAAGTCCCAAACAAACATGGTCCCAACTTATTTCAGGAAGAATCTCGGAAGGATTCAGGGGACTCTGAGGGTGATGTATCAAATGTTCCACAGGCTCCTGATGTTAGTACTCCAGCTCAGGAAATAACTAGCTCCCTCTCCTTGCAGGCTCCTGGAACAGGGACTGAGCAGACCCCACCATATCCCCCCAAGAACCCCCAAGAAGAAGCCCCTGTCCAAGCCTGCCAGACCCAGGATCAAAAACTACTGACAGAGTTGGATCTAGACCCCAGTTTCTTACTTGGGGAGCAGACCATTCCATCTGACTTCCCTCCAGGGGTGGTCAAGGCAGAGCCACTTAACCATGTCATAGGGGAAGATACAAACTCTACAGACACTCTTCAGCAGGTCTATTTTAGTCCTTCTCTGCCAAAGCCACCATTGTGTCAAGAGGAGCCCGACTTGGAAGCTTCAAACCATTGCTCACTGTCAGAAAGCAAAGATGACAGTTCTAGCATTTCCCTCTCTACTGAGAAGTCTTTTCTGTGCTTTGCCCCAGAAAGCCACCCTGAAGTTTCTGCCCATCTCAGGAGGGCCATGTCTTTGGGTTTTGTGGGGTTGAACGAGGTGGTGGCCCCCCTGCTTGGGATGGACCAGTGCAGCTGCCAGTTCTCCTATGCCACCTGCTTCCGTGGCCTGCAGCCTGAGACAGAGGAAGAGGACAGGAACCCAGAAGCTTATCCCCCTCCCCCGCTCACCTCACCACCCTCTGCAGGGACCCGGCTTGTTCTACCCTGGATGGCTGCCCAGACCCACAGCTGCAGCACCACATCCCTGTCAAGGAAAAGCCACATCTGGCCAGAGTACTGCTCCAGAGCACTGAGACAGCTGAAAGCCATCCCCGCTGGCACCCCTGAGGGCTTCATCCAACTCCTAGAGAGCTTACTAGAGCTCCAAGACATTCTAGAAACTTCCTGGGGGGGTGGGCACAAACATCCCCCAGAGAAGTGCACCTGGCACTTTTTGGAAAGCCGGAGCCACCTCTGCATGGGCTCACAGAAGCTCCTCTCAAGCTGTCAGCATGTGATCAGAATGGACCAGTCCCCCGAGGAAATGCAGGGTGCCGTGCGTGACACCTTCCAGCACCTGGTCCAGCTGGCTGGCCTGTGCTTCCAGTTCACGGACTGCAGCCGCTGCTCTGCCCGGCACAGGGAAGCAGCTGGGAACCTGAGGGATGTGGTGTACTCCTACCACCAGTTTGTAGAGGCTGCAAGATTGACCTGCGAGAGAGGCTACCATGACCTGAGTGTGAAACTCTTGGCCCGTCAGTGCACGGCCCTCACAGCTGCTGTGTTCTGTTTGACCCAGAAGTTCCGGGCATCCACTGCCCTGTAAACAGGGTCTTCCTACCCTGAACGCTTCCCTAAGAAGCCCTGTCCAGTCCCCACTCACCCCCATCAGATGTTTACTAAATAGAGTATTCAAATAAACTGCTGCTTAGTCTTGGCCTGACTCATACAGAGTAATGATAAATTCGGGTGGAAAACATTCACTTAGATTTGCTTAACATTTACTAGATGCTTCCTTTGTACTAGGCCTATACCAGGAGCTCAGGAATTACAGGCAAATAACAGGAACCCCTGATCAGGATTCACACAGGCACTTTGGGTACAGATTAGTACTTGAGCATCAGTGAAGTGTGCACCACAAAAGGAGCACACCCACAGGTATGCATGCAAGAGGAAGCCACAGATTTTGTCCCAAGAAGGCAGGAATGAGGGAGGAAGGTGGAGCTCACTTGCAAAGTCTTGGTTTCCCGTAGCACACTTACCAATTACCTTTGTGTACAGGGGTAAATACATGTGCTGTTTTATAGATTCCCCCTTCCCCAGTTTTGGGTTGCAGCCCCAGCACCTGGAGGCCTGGGAGTCTTGGCCGCCTCACTGCAGCAAGCATAGGTTGCCACTAGGTGGCAATAAGTTCCTTAGATGCAAGGCCACTGTGGCTTTACTGGAAATTGCACTCCAGAATCTTGAACCCTATTTCTGTTTTAAATATGTAAAAGGCAAACACTAAAGCCCTGAACTATATGTACCTTTTTAAGAATATTAAAGCAAAAAAAATACATTCCATAGCTTTTCTGTAATCTCAGCTGATCTAGTTATTCCTAGTCAACCACGGACAAGGTATTTAACTTCTCAGGGTTTTGTTTTTCTCTTCTACAAATAGGGATGCTGACATTGCCCAGTTGATAGCACATAAACCCAGGAAGTACTAATTTAGTAAACTCCCAATAAATGGTAGTAATAGCCTTCAGCTTTTATGGGTGCCTTTCCTGGTCTGAAACTCTTCTCTACATCTTGTTCTCAGACAGCAGGGAAAGTCATATCAGGACTCTCTGGGGATGCCTTTGCCATTGCTTCTCTGTCTAGGCCAAAGGTGCTTTAGTGGCTACCCTTGGATTACTAGGGGTCACTGAGGGGTCCTTTTCTTCCTCTGGTACTCCTGACCTCAGTGCTAGCTCTTCTCTGGTAAGACTTTCTAATTCTTCCCCTTCCCCTAGCAAAAGTAGGATCAGGGATAAAGGTGTTAAATTATGTACCTAAGCTCTTTCCAGTCAGAATGAAAGAGGGAAAATGATATTCCATCCATTACCTTTTACTAGTTACTCGTGAACTTGTAACTAGTTGGTTAATCAGTACTTGTGCCAGGAAAAGATTTAAGTTCTTAGAGGACTGCCTCTTTCCACAGAATACTTCAAATAAAAGTTAAGTGAGGCTTTGGAACACACATTTGAAGTGATTTCCTATCAAAAATGGGATAATTGGACACGAAATTTTTTTTAATGTATGATATTTAACAGGACTTGAAATTTTGGACAGCAGAAAGCTCTAAAGAACTAATTTCTTTATGTTAACGCAATCTATGTATTCAGAAATTTAGAGAAGGAGCTCAGAGCTTCACTCAATCAGGGCTGGACTCCTGGCTGTGGCCTGTGTTATAGACACTTCTCTGGGCTTCGGTTTCCTCATCTGTCAGAGGAAATATTATCCACTTACTTAGAGATCACAACATGTCAGATGCCTTCTTTAGATGGCATGAATACATTTTTTAACGTGACTACCGTCCTAGGGGTTGCTGTCAAATGTACATTCAGTATTTTCTGAGAAACAATCATAGAAGGCAGGGAGAAGGCGGAAACTTCAATTGTTCATTTTTTTCCCTCTCCTCAAGTCCATTGCCTTTCTTGGCTTCCTAATGTATGGAGCTTGTCTTTTTCTCTGCAGTTGCCTTGTGGAAGACTAGGTCCCAGAAGTGGTTGGAACCCCTCATTTCTTGTGGAGAAGTGGAAAGCAAGCCACCCCTTTTGGCAGTTTGAGACACATAGTCCCCTTATACTGAAAGGCTGGATGAGGCTGCCTACCCCACAATGCAAGAGTCAATGTTTAATAACTAAGAAACTACTGGACACTTACTCCCATTCTTTCCCTTTCCACCCACCATTGCATAGGCTGATTTAACTTTTTCAACAAACATTTATGGTACCGCCATGCCAGGTGATGCCTGATGCAGGATTATGAGTGTAAATAATTGGGTGGAAATCCTATTTTCAAGAATTCCCAGTACAGGTTGTCTATACATGACATAGACAGATAGAATAACAACATAGGACAGTGTGCTAAGGGCCACTAATGAGAAAGGTGTTGTGAGCCCTTTAAGCAGAGAAAAGTCATTTGAGTGGTGAGAAGCAAAAGAGTAATCAGAAGTGGCTTCCTATAGTTGGTGGCATTAATTAGGAACAGTACAGCAGGAAATATTTATTGAATATCATGTGTCAAGCCTTAGATTTGGTAGTTAGGATTTGGATATGTGCAGAAAGAAGAAAAATTATTTATTTGGTCAAATATTTACTCTGCAGTGGCACTGGAAATACAGCCATGCACAGGGCAGACACAGTCTCCTCTTGGAGCTTAGTAGGAAAGACAAGGAAGGGGGCTGGGGATTTAGCTCAGAGGCAAAGCGCCTACGTGGCAAGCGCAAGGTCGTGAGTTTGATTCCAGATACCGGAAGAAAAACAAAAAACAAAACAAAACAGAAAGACAGGGAAAAAAACACATTACTGACTGAGAGGTGATTTTTAAAAACAAAGATGCTAAGACAGAGATGGGATGAGCCAGTCTTACCTAGGGTAGCCAGCAAAGCCATTTCACCAGAGGGAGTGTTAGAGCTGAGGCCAAAAGGATCAGAGCCAGCTACAGAAAACATGAGCAGGAACAATCTGTGAAAAGCCCTTGGTGTGTCTGAAGCATTTCGAAACCAGTGCAAACATATCATGGCAAGTTGGAGGGAGGACAGGAGATGAGGCTGGAGGGGCAGGAACCAGGAGGTGCAAGGCTTTGGGAAGGCAGTTAGATTTTACGCCCATGCACACCAGAACGCTACTGACAGATGTGGCGTAGGGGAGACACAATTACCTGGCAAACAAATGTGGAGGTGGGAGAAATAGCAAGACCCAGTCAGAGGCCTTTTCATTCCCCTGGAGAGCAGCCACACACTCCCTCAGAGGTGAAGGGACACAAGAGTGTAGGGCTGGGGCACTTAGCATGGCTCAGGTTGAGGTTCAGGGGCAGCTGTGGTGTGAGTCACGTGTGGGTCACAGACGGTCATTTGAGCCCCTTTACCAGCCGAACTGAGGTATTTCAGCAGCTAGTGAAGGGCCAGGACCAGCGTCTGAGCAGAGAAGAGCTGACAGAGCTGGGTTTTAGAGAGAAATGTTCATGGTAGCATTTGTAAACCGAGTTGAAGCCTGGGTTGGGAGGAGTGGTGCAGAGAAGAGCCAAGAGGGGAAACTGGGCCCCAGAGGTATCCAACAAGTCTGTTGTTTCAGGACCAAGATCTGTTTCAGGCTCACTGGTGGAAAAGTCTCTCAGAAAGAGTGAGACTTCTGGGATTGCAGGAGTGGAGAGAAGAGTGGCTGAGAGGCCTTACCACACCTGTGGTTTTGCGTAGGCAAACAAATTCACGTCTCTGAACCTCAGTTTCTCTGTTGATTCGTGAAGGGAGATGAAGCAGGAAGAGTAACCAGAGATTAGACAGCTTATATGTCTTTTGTAGGCCCGGATAGACAAGTAGCAGAAAGGAGGTGAACCCTATGTATTGTTAGGAAAGCAAGAGGTATGCAAGGTCCCCAGGCTGAGAGATCATGAGTAGTTCAAAACTTGGTTTCACCCGAGTCCAGCCCGTGACAGAAAACAAACAGCATGATCAACCTACAGGCGCCCCATCAGGTCAGTAAGGGGTAGGGACTGGAATCATCAACTAACAGACGGGAAAACTGAGGCTCGGAGAAGCCAGGAAAACCTTCGGACCAGAGGCGGGGCACCAGCGGAAGGGGCGGTGCTGGTTACAGCCCCGCCTACCCGTCGGCCAGATTGAAAACTACAATTCCCTGGATGCCCCTCGACGCGGAGTCAGAAACCGGAAGTGGGATTTGGGGCGGGATCAGTTGTACTCGCAGCCCTAGCGGAGCTGGGGAGGTGTAAGTGTGGCGGGGCTGCTCTCGGGGATCGGCTGGGTACCGCCGGCGAGCTCGTGAGCCAGGTGGACGCCGGGGAGGCAGTGGTAAGGTCGTGTGGCCAGGGTACCTAGCTTCTCGCTGCTTCTCTTTTCTGCTTCTAGCATGCGAAGCCTGCGGGCCAAGCAGGACCCACGTGCTCTTGGGCCTGGGGTCTGAGGGTCTCGGGCCTTCGTCCTCAATGTGCCGGAGGAGGGGAGCCAACTTTCGTGGACCACAGCGTAGAATGAGAGAATTACACAAGCAAAGGCTGGTCTGGTGGTGTGTGTGCTCATTACTCGAGTCTTGGGCTAGAAAAGGTGTGAAGCCTTCTCTCCCTCACCCCATGAGGCTGGAGGGTTCATTAATTCAGCAGGTATTTATTGAGTGTCAGTAAGCCTTGCTTATATTGTAGGAATGATATTTATGGAATTATAATAATATAAGTGCAGTGTATTGGTTTCAAATTTTAGAAACACCAAAGGGTTAGACGGAGCACAAAGAACTTAATTATGATGGCAGAATATGTAAAATCTACTTGACCTTGTTAAACTGCAGGTTCAGTTTACCAGAGTTAGAAAAGTAAAAGGAAACAGAGAGGGAAAGATAAAGGTGTTTTTGTTTTGTTTTGATACAGGATTTTGCTGTGTTACCCGGAGTTCCTACCTTAGCCTTTCAGGTAGCTGCGACAATGGACATGGGCAACCACTCTGGCTGACAAAGGCCTAACATTGACGAGTCAAAAAGTGTAACTATAGCCAGATATGGTATATAGTGGTACATGTCTGTAATCCCAGCACTTGGGAGGCTGAGGCAGGAGGATTGCCACAAGTTTGAGACTACCCTGGGCTGGCTATGTAGTGAATTCAAGGCCAGCCTGAAATATATATATGGTTGTCAAACAAGAAATAGAAGAGAAGCCAGAAAAACTATATGTATTTTGGGAATAGGGCTACTAGCCCTAAAGTAAAGGCTGTCTAAGACCTCCCCTAGTATTATCAGAATCTCTTGGCTATGCAAAAATGTTTTGTGGTAGCTCCTTCTGAAAGTGGCTCACCAGTTCGGGTTCTGGGTTGCTGGCCTCTCCTTCTGGAGTTAGATTCTAGATTCTTGTCTTGAGCAAAGATTTGAAAGAAATGAGCAAAAAGAGGCAAAGTTTATTTGAAAAAAGTAATAGAGTGAAAGAGACACTGGGTCTGCAGAGCAAACTTGGGCTGAGTAAAAGAGGAAAATGCAAGATAAAAGAACACCCTGGAGAAAGCAGGGTGAGCTGTGGTGAGGAAAGCCATGGTGGCAAGTTCTTAGCATCTGTGTCCTCTTACACAGTCCAAATCTCCAGGAAACCTGTGAGAACTTCTGCTGTGGGTCCTGAGAGGTGGTGCTGGGATCCCACATCTCAGGCTGGGGTCAGGTCTAGGCTATGCTATTGAAAACCTGCTCAGGTTCTCTGGAGAATGAAAGCCTTGGGAACTGTTCTGTGTGTGTGTGTTGAGATTTTTCTAATTAACAGGTCATGCTTGCTTCCCCAGCCAGCTTTGCCATACTTCAATCACTATGTCACTAGCAAAACCTAAAATTAAGGCTTAAGAATCAAGCTGTTCTGCCACTTTTTTACTTGCCAGAACAAAATGTAATATTAAAAAAGACATTACACACAAGGGAATAATCATAGGAATGGTAATTCCTTAATGGAAGCAATTTAAGAAGACAATGAGATTTTAAAGAGTTGAAAGAGAAACCCCTTCAACCTAGTAATTATTGAAATATCCCTCAAAAGCAAGGAAAAAATAAAGGCATTTTCAACTAAACAGAAATTGAGGGAATTCATCATAAGCAGACCTGCACTGCAAGAAATGCTAAAGGACATTCTTGACGCTAAAGGAAAATCTTACCAGATAGAAACACTGATCTACACGAAAGATAAGAGTACTAGAAATGAAAAATATGTGGATATATAGATGGTTTTTTTCTTCAAGTGTTTTTTTGGGGGTAGTCTTGGTTTTTTGAAGTAGGGTCTCACTGTGTAGCTCATACTGGCCTTGAACTTGTGATCTCCTGACTCAGCCTCCCGAGTGCTGGAATTATAGGCATGGGCCACCATGCCCAGCTTCTTGTTTCTTTAAAAGACAAATGTTTTATTAAACAGTTTGTTTAAAACAAAAGATTTATAACAAATGGAAGTAAATTATATGACAAAATAGAAGAAAGGGCTGGGTGTGGTGGTACACACTTGTAATCCCAGCACTTGGGAGGCTGAGGCAGAAGGATCACTGTGAGTTTGAGGGCAGCCTGGGCTACATGGTGAGTTCAAGGCCAGCCTGTCCTAATGTATTGAGACCCTGTGTCAAAAAAAAAAAAAAAAGGAGAAAGGACTGAAAATGGAAATATACTAATCTAAGGTTCCTAGTTTAAACAAAGTAATTCAAGGTATACAGTGGCAGAGTGGGAAGGGTAGTACACACCTGTAATCCCAGCACTAGGAAGCTGAGGCAGGAGGATCACTAGGGGTTTGAGGCCAGCCTCAGCTACATAGTAAGTTCAAGGCCAGCCCGAATGACATAGTGAGACCTTGTCTCAAAAAACAAAAACAAGGTATACTGTGATAAGATGAAGATGCATATTACAATCCTTAGAGTAACCAGTAAGATAACTAAAAGCAACATGGCTTAAAAGCCAGTAGAGGGAAAAATCAAATGCTTAAAGACACTTCGTTAATTCAAAGGAAGGCAGGAAAAGAGAAAGAGCACTAATAATAGATGTAACAAATTGTAAGATGTAGACTTAAACTCACCTGGAACATTCATTAAGATAAAGTACATGCTGGTTTGTAAAATAAGCCTTAATGAATTTGAGAAGATTGAAGTACATAGTCTGTGACTGTAATGTAGTATATTAGAACCAGTTACAGATAACTGGGAAATCTCTTATTTGGAAACTCTGTAGTACTGCATATTCCCAAATAACCACGTGTGGAAGAAATACAGGGAGATTTGAAATGTTCGTGTGAGTGATACTGAGAAAAAAAGTAGCCAGCCCCATAACATGGCCTCTCGTGCTGCTTGTATCCTGTTATTCGTGCCCTTGTGTAGTTACCTCCTGCAGTGGATGGAGCTGGCTTTTGTAATAGTAAGACATTGAAGAAATGACAGTGTGTGACTCTCCAGGGTGAGGTCATTGTGGCTTTTGCCTTGCTTTCTCCTAGATCACTTGCTTTGGGGAAAGCCGGCCTCCGTCGGGGCGCTGCAACAACCCTGTGGAAAGGTCCGTGTGGTAGGGCAAGGGCTCCTGCCAGCCCACCTGACTGTGATATCTGGGAAGCAGATTCTCCAGGATCAGTCAGGTCCTGGCTGATACATCTGAAGTGAGCAACCCAGAACAAGCTGGCTGAGCGAGCCCCTGACTGGCAGAAACTGTGAGAGTCAATGTTTAACGTTTTTTAAACTACTGAGTTTTAGGGTAACTTGTTTCATGTAATAGCTCACTACACAAAAATACCAAAATTTGATATGCAGCTAAAACAGTGTTTAGAAAAAACTCGATAATTTCAACTGCTTATGTTTAAAAAGAAGAAAAATTGAAGCCACTGATCTTAGCTTCTACCTTAAAGTGCAAGAAAAGCAGTGGTAAAGAGTAGAAATGAATGAAAGTGAAACAATCAGTGAAAACAACAGTAGTAGTTGATTCTTTGAAAAGATTAATAAAATTGATAAGCTCCTAACTAGAAAAATTGAAGAAAAATTTAAAGGAGACACATAACATAAATGTTAGGAATGAAGACAGGAATATCACTTTAGATCCTATAGATATTAAAAGGATGATATTTGTGAATAGCTTTGTCAATGAATATGACAACTTAGGTGGGCATGGTGGCGCATGTTTGTAATCCAAACACTCTGGAGACTGAGGCAGGAGGATCACTGCAAATTCAAGGCCAGCCTAAACTACATAGTCAGGTCTTGTCTCCAGGTAATCAATCAGACAACTTAGATGAAAGAGACAAATTCAGCAAAAAATATGTTAAAAGAACAATTTAGCTGAAAAAAGGCTGTCCTTCCTACAAATTACGTGGGGCATAAAAAATAACTTTCAGATGGAGTGTAGACCAAAAAATAAAATTGCAGCTCTAATTACTCTAGAAGAATACAAAGGATATCTGTGTCTTTGGGGTAGGCCAAGATTTCTTAGAGGACATAGATGTTAGTAACAATAAAAGAAAAAAATGAATAAATTGACTGAATGAAATTTAAAATTTCCAATGTTAAGGAAATAGATAGGCAAGTCATGAGTCTCTATAGTTACAGATACAGACACACTTACACACAATATTAAGGCCCAGATTTGATGGACCGAAGCCACCCTCAGAAGGAAACCTGAAGGCTGTGAAATCAGGAACTCATTACAGGGATGTGTTCTCACGTGTGCACAGATGAGGTTCCCTAACTGAGGGTCCCGTGGCAGTAGTGCTGAGAGATGTTCCTGAGGCTTGAGTGGAGCCGCAGCTTTGTGGGGTGGAGAGAGGTTTGAATTATGAGAGCAAGGATAGACAGGGAGGATTGGATTCGAGGGAGAAAGAAAAAGTGGTGAAAGCATTTATTTAGAAAAACAAACAGGCCATTAATTAACAAGGTGCAGGAAAGGGGAGGTTTTAACTGCTCTTTCAGGGAAGAGGAAGATGTGCTAGTATTAAATTCAGGATGGTCAGGGATATAGCTCAGTGGCGCAGTGCCTGCCTGGCAAGCAGAGGTCCTAAGCTTGATTCCCAGTACCAAAAAAGTAACATAAATTCAGGGTAGCTGAGGGGTATGCTTGTGGGACCATGGCTCCCCCCTCCAGCTCTCCAGTTCCCCTCTCTGGCCTGAGATGTGAACAATCAATGGGCAAAAACAGAGAGTAGATGAAGCCTGAGAGAAAGAGAGCTCTGCAAAAGGTCTGAAGTCCAGAAGATTTGTACACTACTACAATTCAGTAATTAAAAGTAATTTACAAATGAGCAGAAGATTTGGACAGATAAAAAGTGGCCAATAAATTGTCAAGAAACTGCACATTAAAACACCACAAGGTTAAAAACCCTGACAGTACCAAATCGCAGTGTTGCTGTGGAGCGTCTGGAGCTGGCATGCATTGCTGGCTGATGGCAGTATAAAATGTGCAGCACTTTGGGAAGTTGATGGCACTTTCTTATGAATGAAATACACACCTGTCCCATGAGCTGGCAGTTCTACTGTGGTGTACTCAGCCAAAAGATGTGAAAACTTACCTACAAAAACACTTACATGTAAAAATTCATAGCAGCTTTATTCATTCTTTATTTATTCATTCTTTATTTATTCTCAAGCTGGAAGAGTCTCAAATGTCTATCAACAGGAAAATTGTGGCATATTCATACAATGCAATACTACTCAGCAATAAAAAGGAATAAACTACTGGTAACCTGTAATGCCATGTGTAAAACTCAGAAATCTGTTGGGGAAAGAGTCAGGTTCTATGGACTACACAAAGTTTGAGTTCGCTGATAGGAAGCTTTGTAATAGGCACAGCTAATCAATGTTATAGGAAAGAATAGTGGTTACCTTTGGCATGCAGTGGAAATGGAATGGGGCTTGATTTGGAAAGTGGAGACTGGAGTGGAACCTTCTGGAGTGATGGAGATGTTCTATATTTGATGGGTAACATAAGCTCTATGCACTTGTCAGAACTCATTGAGCTGGTATATTTGTACCCTTTGCTAGGGTTAGGGTTACCCTTAAAATCTTGGTATTTTGCTCTATGCAAATCACATCTCAAATGAAATTGAAAGATCAAGATAGCTAATTTTTTAAAAAAAGACTGGTTGAGGCTTTTAAAAAGCTAATAAAGGATTAAAAATATTAGCAAATTGATTTACGTGATTTGAAGTCTCATGTTTTGATGGGAGCTGGTAAATTTAAAGCTGATGGATAAAGACACAAGGTGTAAGCATATGATTTCAGGCTCAGAAGTCAGTTACTGGAACTAAGAATAACCAGTTAGTGGACTGCCAGTAGAGGTGAAAGGAATAGGAATGAAGATCAGTGCTTTTCATTGTGAAGTAGGTCTTTTTACCATATACATGAACCATACATTTTATTCTGAGGTTTTGTTTTTTTGGTTTTTTTTTTGTTTTTTTTTTTGTCCTTTTGAGACAGGGTCTTGCTATGCAGTTCAGGCTGGCCTTGAGCTCACTTTGTAGCCCAGGCTGGGCTTGAACTCGCAACACTTCTCCTACCTCAGCCCCCTGAGTGCTGGGGTTACAGGCATGTGCCACTATACCTGGCGAAAAAGATACTTTTTTTTTGTTTGTTTTTTCTAAAATGGTGGTATTGTGGCTGAACTCTGAGGACCAGCCATAAGCAGTGGTTGTCCCACTCTTGGTCTCCGACCCATGCATTGCCAACGTATTTTTTCTTAGGGAGTTTGAACATCACTGAAATTATGGCATCATTCATTAAGTATGCTGTCATAGTAGTTCATATTTTTCAAACTTTACTTTTGAGGGATATAAACATTCTCACCAGCAACTATGTTTCTTTGGACAATACTCAGGATATATTGTTTTAAAAAATGATGGGGGAGGAATGCTGGGGATTGACCCCAGAGCCTGAGGTGCATCCTCAGCAGAGGAGGTAAATTTTTATATGAAACTTGGAAGAGCTCCTGTTTGGTTTTGTGCCACTCTACTGTATGTTTTCTACCATGTTTTTCATCTTTGTAGGATACTTTTAGCATAGTTCTTATATATAACAGATGTCCAATAAACATTTGCTAAATTTGAAAATAAACTGTTTAAAATACAATCGTAGAGTGCATTTTCAAAGATATTTTCACTACCTGTGTCACCAGAACAGCAGCTATCATTGATTGGGGGTGCTGGAACTTGTGCTTGCCCTCTAAGAAGCATGTTTGGTTTCCTTACTGCCACACTGTTTATGTGCTGAATTAGCTGTCTAGAAGACACATGCTTTTCTCAATTCAACAAATGTGTTCAGTATATTATAACTTCTCCATCAGTAAAAGAATAGCACTGTTTTATGGATACAGAGAATTAGCTATGTAGTGTCTCACATATTTGTGCCTTTTTCCTATCTCGTTGAAAGGACAGAGGACTGATTGCATGGACTGGAAATTAGAGGGTAGTGCCCAGAGAACAGAGTCACCAGTGCTGCCGGGACAGGAAGGCCACGTAGTGGACGCAGATGCAGATGGATTCTCTGAAAGCTTCTGGCTTCTACAGATCGATGTGGACTGTGAGTGCCGAGAGAGAGAGGCCCCTCCCATAGGCAGTGCACCATGGTGCTCGGTGAGTGCAGTGGGCTGTCAGTGCTGGAATGATCCAGAGACCCCTGTTCTGAGGGTAGATAGGAATAATAAAAAGACACCACGCTTTAGTTTTCTGTATTCTAAGTGGTGAATTAATTTTTCACTAACTGGTTTAAGACTTCAGTTTTATTTGATTCATAGGTTTTTTTGTTTTGTTTTGTTTTTGTTTTTGTTTTTTTGTTTTGTTTTGTTTTTGTTTTTTTGTTTTGTTTTGTTTTTGTTTTTGTTTTTTTCCAGTACCAGGAATCAAACTCACAACCTTGTGCTTGCCAGGCAGGCGCTGTGCCGCTGAGCTAAATCCCCAGCCCCTATTTGATTCATAGGAAAAATAAAGTTCAGCGGGAATTTTCATGTACCTCAGAAGAGTCAGGGAATCCATACGTTAGATTCTGACCCCAGTGAATTTTCTGTGACCTGGCAGAGATCACACGTCTTTTCCAGGGCTCTGTTTACTCCAGTCAGGGTTTGTTTTCAACATGAAAATCTGTTTTTTCCTCTGCTACTATATGTATAAATTAAATAATGAAGTAATTGTTTCTAATGTTCATTTTCCTTTTTTGGTGCTCATGAAGTTCTCAAACAATTTTGTTTTTTGGATAACATAAGAGAAATGTCCAAAGAAAACAGAGACACTGGGAAAAGATAGTTGCAGCAAAGAAGAGCAAAAGAAAGCAAGAAAAAGAAAGAAGAAAAGCCAGTCATGCAGAAAATCCAGGTAACAATAAATGAGATTGCCAGTGTAACCTTGCCCTTCTTTTGCTTTTTTTTTTTTTTGCAAACTAATGTCTTCATATTTCTAGGACAGTAGGGAAATTGTTCTAAGTAAAACAAACATCAGGGAAGTGAGACCATTTATCGGATTTGTTGGGAATCAAAGAGCAAAATTTAAAGTTGCTTTTAAAAATAAGTTGTTTAGAAGACATAAGTATTTATAAACTCAGGTAGAAGGCATGATAAATCATTCAGTGCTTTGTTGTCCCTATCTTGTGGATGAGACCGAGGCTTAGAGAAATTTCAGTAAGGTAATTCAGTTAACAAATGAACATACCAAACTTGGATTTAAACTGAAGTATAGCTGGATGGGGTAACACATGCCTGTAATCCCAGGCATGGGAGGCTGGAGCAGGGGGATCACAAGGGAAACTTAGACTGTTCTCAAAATAAAAAAGGGCTGGGGATATAGCCCACTGGTAGAACACTTACCTAGCATGCACAAGGCCCTGGGTTCAATCCCCAGTACCACAAAAAATAACTGACGAGACCTAGCTTTGTGCTCTAGGGTCAATACTTTTCACCACTTTGCAGTACATAAACCTAATGAGTAAATACCTTATAGGAATCTAAAGATTCTATATATGTAAAAATAAAAGAGATTTGTTTCTTACAGAGTATCCTTCTGTTTTACCACTCCCTTTTTGATATTTCTGCTATAGGCATCTGCACCCAGCATAGCAAACGTTTTCTGAGAGCCTTAACCAAAGAGAAACTTCTGAAGGCAAGACGCACAGGACCAAGACTGTGTATCGATTTGAGTATGACCCACCACATGTCAAAGAAGGTAAAATACCCACTAAGCCTGGAACTCCCCTTCCTCTGTGGAAGGCCAGAGGCTACAGCCTTCATGCAGAGTATGACTACCACTGGCTTCTGTGACTCTTTTGTTACCTAGTAGATATATTTGGTTTTCTACATGGGGCTGCTAAGTTCTAAGATGGCTGTTGGGAAGAATCTAAAAGAGAACATACTTTTATGTCCTTTGGTTTAGTTTGGCTTCTGTTTTGAGCCTGCCACCTTTGCTTCTCTGTCCATGGTTTCCCTGGTCTGGATGGAACCTTTCAGGTTCAATTCTTCAGACCGCAAATAAATATTAGGTCTTCTGCTGGGAAGAGAACATTTGCCTGCTAGTGCACTGTGGGGAGATTACCCAGTGAAAGATCTTACGTTTTAATCATTTTCTATCCATCCCATTGGTGAAAGAAGGATTTCTACCCTCGGCTTCTGGGTATGACTGTACGTGTGCCAACAGAGTCTAGTCAGATGAAATTGACAGCAGCTTATTAGCCTCACAGACTTAATGTTCCAGAGGAGGAAGATGCTGGATACTATCCGAAGCCATGTAGGGATTGTACTTGAGAACAGAATGGACGTCCAGGGACAGTGGGGTGTGGGCTTTGTAGTGTCAAAAGGATGAAGTACCCCTGTTTCCCATAGGAGGATAAGACTGGCTTGTAACCAGGAACTAGGTATCATCCCCTTGATTTAATTTTTTTATTATTTAAGTTAGGAACCTTATCTCATTTGCAGGGTCAAAGTTGGGAAGGAATTTGAGTTAAGCTATTTGAGATCCTCCGAGCTTCACCAGAAGTCAAAGCAGCACATAATATTTTTATTCAATATTAGGTCTTACACCTCAGTGCGTGTACTTGTAAACACATCTCTTTATTTTCAGATTACCCCGTTTTATGTGCTGGTATTTACATGTTTTTCAGAGAAACTAGGAAAATTTTTTCCTAGTTCTTACTTGGATTTATACAGGGAAGTTCTTACATGGATCCTTGAATTAATGGCTTTCTGAAAAGATGAATGGGAATTCTCTGTTGTGTGTATTAATTTAGAAATCTGATTAAAGCACACCTAGAGCCTTTTTTTCTCTACTGAACAAATCAGGCTAGATTGAGAAATGGCCTCCTTAGAATCAGGGTGGAAAGTTAAAACTTCAATCCTATGGCCTCTCTTGAAGTTAGGGTGAAGGTGACAGACATAGTTGATGGAGTATGCAAGTGCGATACAGTAATCTGGCCTCTGGCCTGTGCCTGTGGTCCCAGCTACTCAGGGGCTGAAGCAGGAGGATCACTTTAGCCCGAGTTCTGGGCTGCAGTGCATTAGGCCAGTCAGCATCGCCACGAACTTTGGTGGCAATATAGCGATTTCTTGGTTGCCCAAGGTGGGGTGAACCAGTCCAGGTTGGAAACAGAGTAGGTCTCACCTCTTTAATAACAAGTAGTAGGAACTACACAGAAAGATTTTAGAGAAAATGTAAAATAACCATTTCATGTGTCATATGAAATGTGCACAGCAAGGTCAGCAAAAGCAAAATTCTCCGTGCTTCCACTAACTCATTATTTCTGAGCTGGCACCACTGTCTCACCTGTCATCTATAAAGTGTAATGTCATAGGGTGCAACACATACATTTGCTCATTCCTGGAGCAAGAAGGGCCATCCTAATTCATGAGCTTTTCTAGACTAGCATCCAGTAACCTTACTGTGTGACTATTTGTTAATAGTGAATTTAGAGCGAGCTGGTATGTTTCCACCCTGAATTGTCCTATTTCTTTGAAGGAAATGAGTAGACTGGCTGGGCAGATCCGAAGGTTGTATGGTTCAAACAAAAAAGCTGACAGACCTTTTTGGATCTGCCTCACTGGATTCACAACTGATAGTCCTCTCTATGAAGAATGTTTGAGGATGAATGATGGGTTTTCTAGTTACCTGGTAAGGATCTTTTTGCGTGTTATTTGAATTATTTAAAAAGTAGCTGTGGGTAATGGTAATTTTTTTTAAAAATTTTTAAATTTTTATGTATAGCTTGCCCTCTCAATCTATGGGTTCCACATCCACAGATTTTAACCATATTTTTAAAAAGTATTTGGGGAAAAAGCTGCATCTGTACTGAACATATACAGACTTTTTCTTGTCATTCATTATTCCCCAAACAACACAGCATTCACATTGTATTAGATACTATAGTTGTCTATCGTAGAGATGGTTTAAAACATACAGGAGAGTATTTGTGGCTTAAATGCAAAAACTGTACCATTCTGTATAAGGGACTTGAGCATACATGGGTTTTGGTATCACAGGAGGTCCAGAGGTGAGTCTCCCATGAACACTGAGGGATGACTGTAATCTGTATATGCCTGAATTTTATCTTTTCACTGTTGCAGTCTAAAAACTCAGAGCCTCTCATTAGTTCTTACATTAAATTTTTTTGTCATTCTTTCACAGCATTGTTGAACTAATATTTCCAGTATCTAGGGCTGTATTTTGTAACCTGTATAGTTTGTGCTAACCTATGCCCTCCAGTAGTGTTTTTGGAAAATGCCATGACTCCTTTCTTGTTCTTAGTAAAGCAGAATTAAGAAACATAACTTTTGAAGGAAAAGAAGGAATGCTTTTAGAAGTAGTATAGACTGAATGTGGGTTGTAGCAAGTATGCTATTAAGGTACTTTTCAGCTGTTGCCTGGTAAGGATTCAGTTCAGTTTCCGAGAAATGTCACTGAAAATGCCCTTGTGTGTGTAGATGGGACTGAGCGTTGTGGCCTTCCTTCCCTGGGGAGCCCACGCAGCCCATGAGTATGAACGGCGCTCTGTGCAGTGCTACACGACCCCCTGTGTTGCAGTTACTGCCTTCACAGGCTGCTATAGTGCAGCTAGTTCCAACTTTACTTCTCTGTACTTATTTCATGATTTCTGTATGGAAGCCAAGCAGACTCACTTCCAGGGCCGTATGGTTCCCTTGATTCCCTATCTTTCTGTTTCTTCTTAGGCAAAAAAAAAAAATTCCCTCCACTTTGAATTTCCTTTTGTATGTGTCAGTCCCGGCGCTTTCCAGAAAGCCAGCTCCAGCATTCCCTTGGGTTATCTTGGTGTTGTTGCTTTCTCATCTGTGGTCCTGCGGCACCCTTCCTCTACCTCTGCAAGAGCCCCCTTCACTGCTTGTCTCATGTATGGGTTTGAATGTCTCTGGCTTTCTGTTTCTCCCTTCCCAGCCAAGCATTTTCTGAGAAGAAACCAGCAGACATTGTAACCTAGACTTTGTAACCTAGAGCCAGGCTGACGATAACTAAATGCACAGTAACTGCTTGTTAGATTGTGGACTATGTTCTGACCTCCTTCTTATTACATTGGATTCTCTGCATTTTCTAGCTAGACATAACGGAAGAAGACTGCTTTAGTTTGTTTCCTCTGGAAACCCTTGTGTATCTTACTCCTGACTCAGAACACGGTAGGTGCTTTGCTGTGTATGTTGTGTAGCACTTTGTTCCTGGCCTTTGTTTCATTATTCCGTGTGGCAGAATTTGTTAAAGCCACCCAGGGAGTGTCAGAAGAAAGTGAGAGGCTGAATGCGAACCGCACACCTCCTTCAGGCAGACACTTCGCTGCGTGCTTGCCTGTGTCCTGCCGCGTGCATACCGCTGCACGGATTGAGGGTTGTCAGGCTTACGTGGACCTTATATGCTACTTTGCAGTGCAGTTTCCCTGGTCAGCTTCCCCCGTTGGCCCTTTTGTGATCAATGTTAAATATATAAATATGTGTGTATATTTTCCAACAAAATCATCTATTTCATGTTATTTTCTAATTTATTAGTATTGAGTTGATTGTAGTATTCTCTTCTAAGTATTTCACATTTTCCAGTAGTTTTAATTTCGTTTCCTTTCTGATTTGGGCTCACTGCTTTCTATTCTTGATTAGATATGCCAACAGTTAGTCTGTTTTTGATCTTTCAGAGAATAAACTTTTAGGAAATCTGTTGTCTCTTGTTTTTTATTCATTAAGTTTCAACTTTTATTGTTAATATTTCTTTCCTTTTGCTTTCTTTGGATTTAGAAATTATAAAACAGATTTGATCTTAGGGGCTTCATTTTTTTCATTAGCTCTTGAAGATGTGGATCTAAACAAAGTTTATGTCCTTGGTGGACTTGTGGATGAAAGCATTCAGAAGGTAAGAATATCTTTTGGCCCCAACAAGTAAGCTAGGACCCTGGTGATCTAGTGGTTAGGATTTGTAACTCTCACTGCTGTAGCCCAGGTTCAGTTCCTGGCCAGAGAAGTCTTTCTTCTGCTGGGTGTTGTGGCACACACCTGTAATCCTAGCACTTGGGAAACTGAGATGGGAGGATTACCTCAGGCTCGAGACCAGCCTGGACTACATAGTGAATTCAAGGCCAGCCTCAGCTACACGGTAAGATTCTCTCAAAAAGCCAAAAAGGGCCGGGAATATAGCTCAGTGGCCTAAGTGCCAGTCAGGCAAGCACAAGGTCCTGAGTTCAATTGCCGGTACCAAAAAAAAAAAAACAACAACAACAACAAAAAAGCCAAAAAAAAGAGTAGGAAGGAAGGGAGAAAGGAAAGTAGTGCTCACTTTTAGAGGCTCTTACCCTGTCATAGTCTTACCCAAAGGGCGTAGGAGCTCAGTGGGAGCAGAAACAGAGAGCCTGACTTCCTCCGTGAGCACCCCCTCTGTGCAGTTGATTTCCTCATCAGCATTGTCAGCAGAACTGAGCCTAACAGGAGCTAAAGTTACGATACTGTCCATGCTTGGCTTCTTTCTCTCTTCAGTTCTACAAGGATAACTCTGATTTCTGCAAGTAAGCACTGACTCAGCATTTTTACCAGAGTTTCTCAATGAGAGAATAGTTTAGTCCTTCTCAGGCTGACTTCTCTGCTAACATAAGTCTTATTCCAAAATTTCAAACTCAGCTAGGTGTTGTAGTGCACACCTGTCATCCCAGCACTCAGGAGACCTAGGCAGGAGGATTGCAGTGAGTTCAAGGCCAGCCTAAACTGCGTAGCGAGACCCTGTCTCAAAAAACAAACAAAGAGAAAACCTTCAAACTCAATAAGACTATCCAAATTTCTCTGATTGAGTAAGAGTTTTGCTGGTATAATTCAGGTTTCACTGAAATTTTTTTTTTTAATTTTTAAAATTTTTTATTTATTATTAATATTTTGTTTTGTTTTTATTTTGTTTTGTTTTTTGAGATAGGATCTTGCTTTGTAGTTTAGGCTGGCCCTAAGCTCTGTAGGCCCTAAGTCCAGGCTGACCTTGAATGCATTGCAACCCTGCCTCAGCCTCCTCTATGCTAAAATTACAGGTGTGTACCACCACACCTGGCTTCACTGAAATTTTAAAATGTATTCCTATTATACAAATATTTGCAGAGATAATTTTATTTATCTATACCAATTTACATATACTGCATAGGTATTAAGTTGAATAATGATATAATAGTTAACGTACAGAAAGGAACGTAGTGAGAAATAAGTCTCTCACCTTTCCCTCTTTCTCTTTCCCCCAAGGCACCACTGTTCTTTCTTTATGGATCTTTCTTGAGGGGTCCTATGATCCCACAAGCGATGTGTTTGTAGGTCTGTTTTACATAAATGTTTTTCATATATGTGAGTGTATTCTATATACTCACATGCAGGAAAGCATATATATGAAACATACATTTAGCACAGACTGTAGCTTAATTGCATTTATTTTTAAAACAGTAGCATTCCATGACTTCACAGCAATAATGTAAAAAATGGACAGAGGGGTTTCTTACAGAATGCCAGCTAATAAATGAGGAAATATAATGGAATTAGAAAATCATCGTATTTGCCATTCCCTGTACAATCACTGATAAAACCAATTGATTAAAAAGTTGTGAAGGAACCAGCCAGTTACATAATACCACCTTGTAATGGTTGATACATTGTGTCAACTTGAGAAGTTAGTTCACTAACTCAGCTGAGGGCCAAAGTCCTCACTTTGTAAACATCCTGAGCCAACACAAGAAGAGGGCACCCAGATGGTGTGAGTGCTACACTCACCAGGGTAAGGGAGGAAAAGAGGTTTGTTCCCCTACCCTTTTGCTCTTGTTGCTTTTGCTGACTTCTGCCACCTTGAACTGTTGCTCCTATGCTGTGTGCCACCCTGCCTTGGAGCCAGCCGATTACGGGCTGAAACCTCCACAAACTGAGGTAAATAAACCTTTCCTTCCTTAATTTTGGTGTCAGGTATTTTGTCTCAGCAAGTGAGAGAGAAGTAACCAAGACACACCTCATAGATTATAAAGATAATATATGTACCATTACAGTGAAGCAATCTAGTGGTTATGATCTTATCCAGACTTGATCAAACATCACTGATAGTGACACAGTGCTTCCTGATGAGACAGACTCACATTTTAAAAATAAAAATCTTTAAGCTGAATATAACCATGAGGAAACAGGCAGGTCCAAAACGGGAGACATTTTGCAAGACAACTGGACTGCACTTTTAAAAGTTAATGGAATGATGGGCCAGGCGTGGTAGTGCACGCCTATAATCCCAGTACTCCTGTAATCCCAGTACTCGGGAGGCTGAGGCAGGAGGATTGTTGTGAGTTTGAGACCAGCCTGGGATACAAGGTGAGCTCAAAGCCAGCCTGAACTGCAGAGTGAGACCCTGTCTCAAAAAGACAAAATAAATTAAAAATTGGAAAAAAAGTTAATGGAATGAGAACTAAAACAGAAAAGAAGCTGTTTAATACTGCCAGTCACAGTGGTACCCACCAGCAGTCCAAGCTGCTAGGGAAGCTGAGGCAAGAGGATTGCTTGAGGTCATGCTTAAAGCCAGCCTAGTCAACATAATGAGACCCAGTCTCAATAAATTAATACATAAATAATTAGTCATATGCAGTATGTGAGCCTTGATTGGATTCTGGGTTGGAAAGAAGGCTTTATAAAAGATATTTGGGGGGTAGTTTGGGGAGATTTGATTTAATTTTATTTATTTATTTATTTTGATGTCAGAAATCGAACTCAACTTTGCCCTGGCCAGGCAGGCTCTGTGCTGCTGAGCTATATCCTCAACCCAGTTTGGGGACATTTTAATATAGATCCTGTATTACCTTAATTAATCAATCTTGTGGAACTATTGATGAGTTTCTTAGGAGTGAAAAGGGTATTGCAGTAAAGTACAAGAATGTCTTTGTTCTTACATTCATGCAGAAGTATGTTGTGATGAAGTGTTGTGATGTCTGTAGCTTTCAGATGGTTTGGGAAATCATGCTTTTATGTACACAGAAAAGTAAGTTTGATAAAATGTTAGCAGGTGAATGTAGGTGATAGGAGTATTGATTGTATTATTCTTTCAGCTTTTCTTAGGTTTGAAATATTTCAAAATAAAAAGTTGGAAAGGGGAGACAGCTTTGTTGCAGAGCCAGGCGGGTTACACTGTGGTTTGTCACCATTTTCCTGCAGAAGAAATCAGCCTCTCTATTTTGAGACAGTAAAGTTCAGAGGGTCAGTGAGCAACACAGGAACTGTGTCTGTGCAGTTTTAACATCCGGTCCTCTTTTATCTCTGGGCCAATTTTAAACTGAAAAGTGGGGAGTAAGCATAAGCAAGCGAAGCATGGTGGCACACACCTGTAATCCCAGCACTTAGGAGGCTGAGGCAGGAGGATCGCCCTGAATTCAAGGCCAGCCTGCACTATCTAGCAAGACCCTGTCTCAAAAAACCAAAAGAAAAAACCAAAAAACAAGGAAGGGAGGAGGCAAGCAAGCAGGCAAGCAATCAGATGTTTAAAGCTTTTAGCTGGGGATTTTGACTTTTTTACAAAAGTACACTAAGAACAGTATTTCTTCAAGGAGAGCTATTTTTATCTTTAACGTGCAGAGAACAGAAGCTGATACTGTAAACTCTTAGACAGCTTCCATATTTTCGGCTAACTTTCAGTTCTGTACTACATAAATCAAAGTGATTGTAAAGCAGTGACTTTCTTTAAAATAAACATATCATAGGTTGTCTGTGAAAGGAGAATTACTCTTCGTTGTAATCGTTTTTAGTAGCCATGCCCTTACTCCATCTGAATTGTATCTTCTTAAAACATTTTTGGAATTCTTGAGATTCTGTTTCATGACAGAGAAGGTGCTTGCCCTCTTTCACACTATTGTTTTTGGTTAGATCATGCTCTGGTGGCCCGGTAGTGACAGTCCATAAATGAAAGAACAAGTTCAGAAGAGGTGATGATGAAGTGACTCAAAATTAAGTCATACAGAAGAGCTGACAGAACTAATACTGTCAGTCTGCAGACAAGAGCATCTGTAGGGGTATGCAAACTGCCTGCATGTATGTGGATGGCATCCGTAATTATGGGAGGGGCATTTTGCTTCTTGCTGTGGCCCTGGGATTATAAAACTAGATGAATTCATGGCAGTCTCGGAGAAAACATCTTGGCTCAATATTAAAAAGAATTCCCTACAGTTGGTACTGTCAGTTTGGAATGGGTCATCAGAGCACGCACAAACGCCTTGTCAAAATGGTTGTCCATTAAGAGATCAGATGACCATTTGGGAGAGAGCAGAGACAAACACTGGATGGTGGTTGAAGTGAAACAGGTAACAGTGTTGAGGCCTCTCTAAACCCCTTTGTTAATTACCCAAAGACCTAAACCTTTTTCTTGAATCTTAAAATGTTAAAGATCATCTTTCCTGCACATCTTACAAGGTAGTAAGTGCAATTTAAATTTCAGTTCATGACTCGGACATTTATGCAGAGTCATGTTTCTGTACAGTAGCCTGTAAGGGCTTGAGATAGCTCCACTTTGAGGTTTTCTGACTCCTTTTTGCAGTTTTTTTCCTTTTGGCTGGGCTGTCATTTTTCACACCTGTCTTAGTTACTTTTCTCTCACTGAGACAGAGTACCTGACACACAAGTTAAAGGAGGAAAGGTTTATTTCAGCTCAGTTTTAGAGGTTTCAGCCTATAGACCACTGGCTTCTACAGTAGCCTGGCAGAAGGGCATCACAGAGGAGAAACAGTTCATGGCAAGGAGAAGGCAGCAAAGCAGCAGCAGGAGAAGGGAGCTTATCTCCCTTTTATCCCACAGACTACAAACCTTTTGGGTCGTGCCAACCACACCCAGGACTGTGCTACTTCTAATCAGTGGACTGATTTAATAACACACACCCTTAAACCTAGTATCATACACCCTAGATTCAGCCAGTTCCTAAAAGCTCAACCTGTGAGTGCATGAGGCTTTAGTGAGACATCTAGATACAAAGCATAATACCACCTTAGTGCCTGTTTGTGCCATTCTTGAATACCTTTTCTTTAACCTGCCTATCCCAATTGGTTATGAGCCTGAAACATCAGATGTCCAGAATTGGTCTTACTAAGTTAGCGCCAGGACTGTTCTGTGATTGGCTAGTCTGCTTTGACTTCTTGATGCGAGTTTTAACTGTGGCTGTGCCTCTTTTGCTCATTTTCTTTTTATAAATGTTAGAGTATGAAAGTTTGTGGATAAATGTTGCCCAAAAAGTGGTGTTGCCACATGTCCTTTCTTACTGAGGATAACTCCTGTTCATTATGTGCGTTTTCTTCCTGTCTTCCATAGGCTACTTATTCTTAGTATGTTTGTTCTTTGTGATTACATATGAAAACTGGCATAGAAATAAATGGGGATTCTTGTAACTTGCTTCGCTTATTACCATGAGAATACAGATCCATGTACAACTTTTATAATGAATGTATTTAACTCTGATTTACAGAAAGTGACATTTCAGAAGGCCCAGGAACACTCTGTCAAGACAGCCCGTTTGCCAATTCAGGAATACATGGTCAGGCGCCAAAATGGGAAAAATTATCATTCAGAGATATTGGCCATCAATCAAGGTACAGCTCACATGGCCCATGCCCAGCTTGCTTTAATTGTGTTCAGGTATAAATGTCCCTTAAATTAGTGTCGTGTGACTAACATGCCTGGATTGTATTGCATGCACTTTGTGACGTATATTCTGGCCACAATTGGCATTCCTCGTTTTCTTCCTGGTCCTCATCTGTGTTAGTAATTGTCCCTTTTGCCTAGAATCCCTCCTCTTCTACCCAGTTGACCAGTGCACTCCTGTTTGTTGGTCAGCACTCAGTTCAGGAGCATCCTAGCTGGCTTCCGTCTCCTGCTAGGCCATCAGGGCCCCTCCCTTGTGTTCCCGTGATACTGGTCCTTTGGATTGCAGGGTTGTGCATTCACAAGCCTGTCTCTCCCAGTGTAGGCTGAGGTCCTCGTGAGCAGGCAGAGCTGTGTCATTGCTTCTGTCCTCTCAACACCCAGACCATACATGATGCAGTGTAATATTTCACAACCTGTTTCTCAGTGGGCATTTACTTGCTCTCTTTCCTAGTGGTCATTTTGTTTTCTGTTTTCCTTCTAAGTGTTTGATGTCCTGTCCACTTACTTCCATACTCAAAACTGGCCCGAAGCACTGAAGAAAGGAGTTTCTCCAGGAAAAGGCTATGTTCTCTGGAATTCAGATGAATGACAGCAGCCTGAGATGTCTTCACCAAAGAACAGAGGAAAATGTGGCAGTGGCACAAACTTTCCTCTGCTTGACCTCTTTGCATCTTTATAGAATGAGCCACCAGTAGCAAGAACCGTATTTTATGCTTTTGTGTCGCCTGGCTCACAGGAGGTGCCCTGATTAAGTTTACCTAACAAGGAATTAGCCTTAAAACTACATGGCTTTGGATATGTTGATTCATCTTTTGTATCTATTTATGAAAGACCTGCCTTAGCGATTACTAATTAAATATGTCAAGAGCTTAATTTTCACTAAACTGGCATGGAATTGTGACTCTCATTTTTTTCTCCAACTCAGTAACATGCAGCACATACGCTTTGGAGGGTCAGCCTGGCCTGTCCCTGTTCTGAGCCCTCGTAGCATTTGTTCCCTCCTGTGGTTCTTACCTTCTTTCCCTTGTTCTGGGTATGTGCATTTAAGGCTTCTCTCTTCCAGTGTGTGTGAATAGGCTTGTATCCTTCCGAGCTTGTACACATGAGATTACCGATACCTATTTGTAGTAGAACAAGCTGAAAACCAGAAAGTTGTTGCATTCTGATGTGTAAACTTAATAATCTACTTCTTGCTATACAAACCTTATCACTAGACTTTTCTTGTATCTTAGATAGAATTGTTTCAGTTACTTTTACCAGTTTGAGTTAACTGACTTACTGGTTAAGCTACTAGCAAATTCAGAAAATGCATTCTTCATCTCAGAACCAAAAAGTTACTTCTGTGCTCATCTGTACCCCTTTACCATATAATCCCTGAGGAACTATGATCACGTGATTAAATTTTGTCAGTGTGTTTTATTTAAAAACAAGCCAGGCTTCAGAAAACATCTTCTTGAACATGCAGTATAATGCTTCTTGGTCACTTTCAACATTTTGAATGAGTTGTATAAGCTCGTTCATCCCAAAAGGAGTTTCTATGGATAGGCTTCTGTAACTCATATTGAGGTTTATGACCCCAAAATCATGGAATTTTTCTCATCTGCCCATCTTCACTTTTTTACCTATAAAGACTTTAATGTGCCAAATAGCATGAAAGAGTTTTCTTTCCAACTCTATCACACACCTTTCCCATTGATTCAAAACTCAAACAAGTCGTTTTTTGTTTGGCTTTTAGCACCTGATTTTACTTATTTATTTTTTTTTAGGACCTGATTTTAACAAAATAAGATTTAGCCAGACTTGGATTCAGAGAATCCTGATCGTTGTGCCATTTAGGTAACAAAAAAAAAACTGAATATATTTAAACTATCCTATAACATGAAAATAAAATATAACGCAACTCTTGAGTTTTTAATGATGAGAGAAATGTGTGTTGTAAAGTGTCCAAAGTATATTGCAAAAGATAATTCTGTAATTCCAATTTGAAAATTTCAGCACACATACATGTACTGGTTAAAAGTACAGACCAAGTTAAATTCTGTGCCTCAGTTTACTCAACTGTAAGGAAAAGTGTCTTGTAGTTGACCCTCATAAAAACTTAAATCTATACTAGCTACATGGTTAACACAATTAACTGTTACATATTCTTTCTCTGACAGGATTACAGGCGATTTGTGTGCTTTTTTGTACTTTTATGTATTCTACATTTCTTTTGGGGAACAAACACTACTGTAATCAGAAAGTAACTATTTTAATGTTGACTTCCAGATCATTATAGAAGCTGCAACTGTTATCTTCCAATAAATGAACTGTTTTTTTTTTTTTTAAAAAGCTGTTGTATAAAACAAAAGTTACAATTTTTAGGATTTTCTCACCCAAAAGAACATAAGTGAAAACCAGTAATTTCCTTATAAAAATACTTTATTTAGGACTTGTAGACAACACGTACACTCACATCTTGCCTGCTGAAGATTTAGTAGGAGAGGTCCACCTGAAAAAGTTTTCTGAGGAAACCCAGTTTCTTGGTTCAGTTGACCCATTAAAGAGAAGTCTACATTTATCAACTTTCTGCCAATCTGGCAAAGATCTGTTTTCTTTGGTCTGCTGTCATGTGTTCACAAGCTTCTAAAATGTTTGCCAAAATTAAAGTCTGTTGAATAGTTTTTGCCTTAACCCATATTCTTCCATTCATTCCAAATACAATCTCTAGTGGATAGAGTTTTCCCACTTCCTGTATGATTTCACAATCTGGTGCCAACAGCCTGGTGAGGGAGAAGAAAGAAAATGAAATGGAATAACGTGGTGGGCTGCGTCTTGGCTCTCCTTAGAAAGACTCCTCTGGACTGCTCTCCATAGTTCTAAGAATAAAATACGATGACACTGCTGCCCCCTCCTTCCTCCCTTCTCATTTGTTTCCAACCTCCATTTCTTCCATGAAACTTTTTTATTACTGCAGTACTAAAAAAGCACTTTAAACTTATTTTCTTGATCATGTAAGTTATTCCTTGGTGTTAAACTCAGTACCTGAAGAGGAATACTGGCTCTATGGAACCACAAGATGCTGCTTGGTTAAAAACATGCTTTTCTAATGTCCCAAACATGCTCTCCAAATCTGCAGAATTAGTAGGAAGGAAAGGCCCAGAAGCTAGCTCTGAACTTCAGCAGCTACAGGAGTGAAGCCCTTTAACCTGACACAGCTTTGGGAAAGGTCTAAACACCTAACGAAGTATCTAGCTCAGTGGCAGCCATTAAAACTGCCAGGGTAGAGTAGCAGGAGCCTTGGGTAAGTGTCTACATAAGCTTGAGGATCACATCAGTGTAGCTGCATTTGGCCACCATTAGAGAAATCTGATAATTTTGTTCAAGTGCAGACTTCATCTGTATTCAAGTGACTTAGAATAGAAGAAAGGGCAACTCTTACACTGGGACTGACTATGTCAGTAATAAAGAATAGCAGGCCTTCCAGTAGAAAAGAAAGGAAAGGGACGGAGTACGACTGTAAAGATGAAGTAGCAGCCCAGACACTGCACCAACCCGGGAAACTACACAGATCTAAATCTGATGTAGTAAGAAGGGGCAGGACTACAGTCACAAGTTTCCAAGTACACTAAAGTTGGTGCTGTTAACTAACTGACAAGAAATCAGATGCTATTAATGAACAATCCAAATTCAAAAGAGTCATCAGCTTTCAAGCAGGTACAGTAATTATAAAAGAAGGCAGACAAGCTAGGAGGCACCATGACTTACTTTCTAATCAAGCCTAAAGTTACTTTAAAGAGAAGTCCATCCTGTCCAATTACACCCATTCCATTGGCTCTTCCACAGCTGTCAATACAGACCATCTCTGGTTCCATATCTTTATTAGCAACCACGAACTGGCCATAGATGAGATCACCAACCTACAGTTATTGAAAAGAAAAAAAAAAGTTACTTTCTTTCAGCAAACCATTCTTTAGATGCTGCTACTGGTTCCTTCCCATAGGCAGCAATGCCAGGTACCTACAGTTCTGTGGCTAAGGGACTGACTACACCACCAATTTTGGCGAACTTATGGCACGCATGTTACTGTGTCTTTAGGAAAAAGGTGTTAATGTAGTTGCTTTTTGTAAACTAAAACCTCAGTATTCAGGTTTAATTGCAGTCTTGGGCACTTTGCAGTAAACAAGTGGGTTTTGGGTTGCAGTTTGGCACTTAGTTGTTAAAAGGTTTACCATCACAGGACTATACTATAAAATTCTACTTTGGAGTTAATTAATACATGTAACTGTCCCTTCACCCATCAGAAAATCCATAGACTAGGAGCTATTTTAAGGCCAAAAATGTAGCCAAGATTACAGTGTCCAATACCCACATGTAAGCTGGGCATGGTGGCGCACGCCTGTAGCACTTGATAGGCTGAGGCAGGAGGATTGCTGCATGTTCGAGGCTAGCCTGGGCTACAAACTGAGTTTTGAGGCCAGCCTGAACTGCATAGCAAGACGCTGACTCAAAAAAAAAAAAAAACAAAAACACAAAAAACAAAACCCCAACACCCACGTGTAGTTATTTAAACTAATTAAAATTAATTATTTAAAATTAAGTTTCCCATTACACTGGTCACATTTCAAGTGCTCAGCAGCTAGCTACATGTAACCAGTGGCTACTATATTAATCAGTGCAGATATAAAACAGCATCATTTTAGAAAAATTATATTGTAGATAGCCCTACTCTAGAGAATTAATAGATTTACAAAGAAAGAGAACTCCTGGAATGCAATTATTCAAAACCAAATGGAACTGTAACTTACTGATATGAAATTCACTTTAAAATGTCAGTTGGGGCCGGGGTCGTAGCTTAGTAGCACCGTACCTGCTTGGCAAGTATAAGGCCCTGAATTTGATTCCCAGTACCACCAAAAAAAAAAATTTCAGAGTTGAACTTCAAAATAATGAAACTGAAGAAATGGAACATGAATTTATTCTGTTTACTTAGCAAGCAAAACACTTATTAAGTACCTACTGTTTGCTGGTAACTACAGGAATCAGAGAGGAACAAAACCACTTTCTGCCTTTGAAACATTTTGAACAGTGGGAATCTACATGTAAACAATTCATTCAAGGCTACACCCACTAAGGGGCACAGCAAAGATACAAAAGTGACTATTAGGCATGGCTTTATGGTGGTAGTTTAACTTGGACCTCAGGATAAGCATATGTTCCACAGGCTGAGAAGGAGATGGCATAATCCAGGTACAGGGAACAGCATGAGCAAAAGCCCAAAGGCAAAAATTGAATGTAGTGATGTGTGGCATGGTTTAAGCATAGCTGCATGAAGGATAATTATGGATAAGAGAAGACCCTAAGTATAATACCAAAGAATTCTGTAGGTTTTGGAGAATTTTTTTTCTTTTGAGAAATGGAATGTGTGAGGATGTCAGCTCTCAAAAGCCAGGATGGAAGGGTTAAAATATGGAGGCAGGGGTATTTAGAAAATCTTTTGAGTCTTGTCAAAAAGGAGCTAATACCTGAATTTGCTAAGCAAAAATAAAGGAATGGACATGCAAAAGATCAGAGACAGACTCACACTGGATAAAAACACGATTAAAGACCTATGAGGAAGGAACAGAGGTGAGGAAGCCACCAAAGGCTTAGGAAGGCAGGAGGAATACCGCTATACTACCTGAAAAGCCCAGATTGAAAATCTGTGGTAACATGATTACTCTTCCATCAGTCCCAAGGACCTATAACCAAGATGAACAGAGGCTAATAATAACAATGTACAATATTTGTTCCACCGCCCTAAGACCATGGGTGATTTCCTTCTGCAGTAGATAAGCATATATTCAACTCAGAGATAAAACATCCCAAGAGCTAATGTAGCATATGTAAGTATGTGGCTCTGGTTCTGCAGCTGGAGCATCTAAGGAATTCCTAAAGCCTGGTGCCATCAAACAAATGTATAGAGATCATCCTGCTGAACTAGTAAAATAGTTCATACTTTGGAGACAATTTGGGAAGACTTCTGGCTAAGTTGACTGTTCTGGGAAATGTTTTTTTTCTTTTCTGTTTTTTGCTGTTTAAACCAAAGGCTCCTATCATTACCTGCACATTTGGTCTGTTTCTTTTAGTTGCACCTTCAAATGCCAGGTAAGACAAAGAAGCTGGCTCACTCCCTCCAACATCAACTTTGAATATATCTCCAGATTTGGCTGTCACTATGCCAATCACATGGTCTCCTTTCACTGGTACATACTACAAAAGAAAACAATGAGAAAATAGTCATTAAAGGCATATCACTGGAAGATACTTTTCACTACTAAGTCCTTAAGTCCTTAGTAGTTATTTCATTGTCATTTAAGAGATGTTTAGAAAATATTTTTAAATTCAAGTTTACAAACTAACATTACAAGAAATATGATACATCACTTTCATGCGCCCTCAACTTTGCAACTGCTTCTTCTTTTGTTTTGAGGTTGGGTCTTGGTTACTTCGGATAGTCTCCAACTCCTCTCAAGTGATCCTCCCGCCTCAGTCTCCAGGGCACTGTAACTGGGACCGGAGCACAACCCTGGCCCAGCTTTTTTCAACCAACCACTATCCCATTTCTCTTTGATATCCTTACCAGTAAAGCACTAACCTCTGTTGTGCATAACTCCAGTACACAAGGATCCTGACAGCCACGGCAGCCCATTCCATTTTTAGACAGTTTTTTCTATATGAACGTTCTTAACTAGTCAAAGAGAAATGTAACTCTTTGTGACATCCCCTCACTGAGACTGGTTCTGCCTTCTGGGACTCCCTCACCCATGCCTGCTACTTCCTGACGTCTAGGATTCTGAAGATAACCATGACACAAGGTCTCCAGGCGCCTTTTTCCCCTGTCGCTCTCCTCGGACTATGGTTCTACAGACGTACATGTGGGCACAAGAATACGGTGGCGCTAGGCTAACCTTAACAAAGGGAAGCTGTAAGGCTCCATACCTGCTTCTTTTGAGAAGTTTCCCAGAGCCCCTCCCAAGTCCCAACTCACCCGCTTCTGTTGCGAGTCCACCCAGTAAATGCCACCACTGCTGCCACAGCCAGACGCCTTGTGACGAAGACGGCCACACTTGGTAACCAGCAGCCTGTCTCCGCTGCGCCGCAAGCCCGGGCCGCACACTACGCGCAATCGCGTGCGTATCCCGGCATTCAGGCGTAAGGGTCGCTCCCCTGCAAAGCCAGGGCCGTCTGTTTCCTCCTGTTCGGGCAGCAGCAACTCCTCACCGGGGAGCACCACCTGGCCTAGCACAGTGCGCGCTGCCCGCGCCCTGCAGCCCGCCAGAGATTCCGAGGCAACTAGCGCAGGTTCAGCCATCGCGGGCGCCACCAAACCTACTTCCGGTGTCTGGCTTCCGCTTCCGGCTCTGCATCCAATGGTCTGCCCACCCCGAGACTTTCCGACAGTTGTTTTTTGGGACTTGGGCCCAAACGTGTGAAACCCAATTGCAGTTCTACCGTGGATCCCCCGTACCCTTTAGATAGCGGTGATTGTGTCTTCAGCCGTTCGTTCGTCTTAACAGTCTATCAGCGGGGCGGTATGAGAAATGACTAGGTTGAGTAAATCAAGGACCCTCCACTGCCCCTGTCTCGGGTCGCGCTGCTCAATACAGGATGTTTTCATGGAGAGTTTCATGAGAACCTCAGGTTACTGAGCAGAGGGGCTTTGGAAATTGAACGTTGACTGGGCTCAGAGGCCAGCGCTTCCGACTTCGACCTCTGAAGGTGGTGAACTGTACCAGGTTTTTTTTTTTTTCTCTCTTAAAAAATAAAATGTTTTTGGTGGCCACTGGAAAAGATACCTATTTGCATTTTAGACAACATAGAGGGAAATAACGTTGTTCTTGCCCTTTGTCCCTTGGTACGCTGACATGTGCAGTTGTGATTGTGACACGAAATAGGAAATACCTGAGGGATACCACCCTTTGGTGTATATTTCTCCCTATATGTTGCCCATTGCAAACATTCATAGATTACATGCACGTTTTCACATACATGAGCTATCACTACTTGGCCTGGCAAAGTCAGGAACTCGGACAAATCCCTGCTGTTTCTTCCCCTGGAGCACACTGTAGTTGCCCATGTGAGAAAAAAATGAATCCCAAATCCACAGTTCAACTACTTCAGAACCGCTAGTCTTTATTTTGGATTCTTACTTGAAATGACCATTTTCTCTGTCAACTGTTCTAGTTGTGTTCTACTAGAGTTTGGTCAATTCTCTAGCAGTAGTGAAAGCTCCTGGAAACCAGGAGGGTATAACTGACCAATGTCTTTTAGCTCCCCTCCGTGTCTGCTGCCTATCTCCTTGCTTTCCAAGTGAATTTTTTAAAAAATCGGGGATGTGTTTAAGGCATACCTTCACTAACATGCTTCAAATTTGGCAAGATGCTGGCAAGCCATTTTCCCCATTAAGAAACCAACTGAGATACAGCGTTTGTTTTGCAATCGGATTGTTGAAGTAATTTCTTGGTTAGTCTCCCTGGCAGGAGTGGTGGCTCCTTGGGCAGAGATGGTAATAAATTGTGCTGCTCTTTTCCCCATTCTAACCCAGCTCCACTGGGCTTGGAACAAGTAGGTAATGTATTCAGTGAGGAAGCCAAGCTCCTTTGAGGCTGGCTCAAGGCTACAACTTCTGAGGGAGTTCAATGACCAGATCAGGCAAGAAAGAATGTTCCCTGATCTGTCCTTTAGGAATCCCTAGGTCATACTGGAGTCTCCAGAAGAAACTGGGCCCAGATCTGATGATGCAGCCCTATCAAGTTCACTTTCCTTTGGGGAAGGCATGTGACAACCAGTTCAGTTTGCTTTCAAAAGAATGAAGTACAGAATATCAGAAAAGTACCTGCCCAGTGCAGGCTGCCATGTTGGTGCTTCCCTTCTTGGTTGGTGTCCTGTGGCCTCTTGTATGTGAGAGTGCATAGGCCAGGGTGGCAGGAACCTGTGAGCCTGGTCCCAAGTGCTGCCTTGGACTTTGGCTGTGCAGGCTTACCCTAAGGCTCCTTGGATTCATGGAGCAATGAATGCTCCATGAACAATTCATGCTCCCTTTCCTGGTTGTAAAAGTGGCCATGGGTGATTGAAGAATAAAGAATCTGGTAACCAGAGCAGGCAGCCTGCATGCCTCCTCCTCAGTCTGGCACTTGCAAGTTTCCCATGGATGGCCTAGGACAACCAGGCCCATTCTCTGTTGGGGATTTGCAGGTTTGGAGCCAATGCAGTTGATGCTGCTCTGTCTTTCAGTGCCTCTGGCCTCAATCTCCTCATAGCTTAGTATTCCCCATGAAGAAATTTCCAAAGTGGCCTTTTAGAAAGGCTGGATCTGACCAACGCCTTTCAGACTCCCAGAAATTACACTTTAGAAATATTTGCTACTTTAGAAGATGAAAAGATGGCATCACACAAGAAATCCTTATCATTTCTAACCTGAGGAAAAAAAGACTTCAGTCTTCCAAAATCAAGTATGAATTTAGCTATGGATTTTTCACAGATACTCTATATCAGGTAGAGGAAGTTCCTATACAATGTTAAACTTTTTTAAAAAAATCATGACAGGATGATGGACTTTGTCAAATCTTTTATCTGCATCTACTGAGATGTTAAATGAATTCTTTAAATTTTTTGTGAAGATCCACTGAAGCTATCTGGGCCTGGCTAAACTCCATCTTATCCAAAAGAATTGGAAAGCCTATATATTACAGTTTTGATCTGGAATGTTCCCCAGAAGTCTCATGTGTTCAGAAGTGGTAATTCTGAAAGGTGATTGGATCATGGGGGTGCTATATTCATCAGTAGATGAATCCACTGATGAATTCACAGCGGAATGTGCCACTAGGAGGCAGTCTGGTTGCAGGTGGTGTGTCATTTGGGAATGACCTGGAAGGATGTGTTATTATCCTTGCCTCCTCTCTTTGTGCTCTGGTTCTTCCTTGATCTCCGCTTCTTGCTGCCATGGTGTTTGAGCAGCTTTCCTCTGCCATGCACTCCCACTATGCCATTTCTGCTCTGGAACCATGGACTGAACCCTCTGAAACTGAGCCCAAATAAAGTTCTCTTCCTTAAATTGTGTATGTCATGTCCTTTGTCCCATGGATGGGAAGGTGACCAATACACTCTTTTTACACAAACTTGCACATGACTGTTCATAGCACAATTACTCCTAAGAGCAAAAAAAGTGAAAACAATGCAAATGTCCATTAACTGAGAAATGAGTACACAAAATGTGATATATCATACATCATCATTCAGGCCAAAAAAGTACTAAGTGGTGATACATCCTCTAACATAAATGAAGCTAGAAAATATTATCCTGTGAAAGAAGCTAGATACAAAAGGTTATAGATTATACTATCCCACTTATATGAAATGTTGTAAACAGGCAAACCTATGGACACAGAAAATCGAGTAGTAGTTCAGAAAGCTGATGATAGGGGCAATGGAAATTACTGGAGTCAGGGATATACCTCAGTGGCACAAGCACCTGCCTGGCAAGCACAAGGTCCTGAGTTTAATTCCTGGTACCAAAAAAAAAAAAAAAAATACTGGCACACAGTTTCAGAAAAATTTCTAGTGAGGGTTGTATAACTATGTGAACATACTTAATGCCACTGAACTAGGGTTAAATGGTTCATCTAAAATGGTTAAAATGGTAAATTTTTTTTTTTTGGTACTGGGAATTGAACTCAGGACCTTGTGCTTGCCTGACTGGCACTTATGCCACTGAGCTATATTCTCAGCCCCTAAAATGGTAAATTTTATGTTATATATAATGGTAAAATTTGTGTTACACAAACTTTACCACAATAAATGAATTATTTCCATAGGAAAAGAGGGGAAGATGAAGTATAGAAAAATCCTAAAAATGGTTGACTCTCAGTAAGTAGAACATGGTTGCTTTTCATAATATTTTTCTCTTGTTTGTTTGAAAATGTAATTTAAAAAGTAGTATAGATACAGACATTTAATATAATGACCCAATCTCTTTCCCCTTCTCCCTTTCCTTCAAAACTTGTTTCCCTCCCCATCCTCTCTAGGAAATGTCCTCTGACCCTGAGTTGGAGCTAACTGTCCTTGATTTGTGTTTCCATAGCTCACTGTCTATAACTTATTATAATGTGAAACACACTGGATTAAAGCCAGGAAATCTGTGCTCCTCTTATATTGCTAGAACTTAGATCTAGTACATCAAAGGCATTGTATAAAAGTCTACGAAGGAATTTTTGTACCAAGGAAAGCTCCACTTGTTTTAAGCCTGTTAAATGTTTCTCTAGCTTCACAAACACTTTATGATGAATATCCCTGTAGGGACTCCTTAAATTTTACTTTTGCCCTAGGCTGAAAAAAATATGTTTGATGGAAAACAATAAAGTGTCTTCCACCTTTGAAAATACCCATTTCTAAATTGTGCATACTGGTACTTGCCTGTAATCACAGCTACTCAGGAGGCTAAAGGAGAATGCGAGTTCAAGACCAACTTGGGCAACTTAGGGAAACCCCCATCTCAAAATAAAATAATAGAAAGGGCTAACTAAGCTTTAGTTCAGTGGTAGAGCACCCCTGGGTTAAATCTCCAGTACTGGAAAAAAAGGAGAATAAAATAGACATTTCTAGTTTTCACCTAAATAATGCAGGTAAGTAATTTTAAAAGTCTGCAAAGCTTTTGGTAAACAGCAACGGTGGCAAGGGGGATGGGGAAAGTGATAATTATTACCTAAAAAATAAAGAGTTTCAGCTTGGGAAGGCAAAGAAAATTTCTACCTTTGGCTTCCCTCTAGTTCTTATTCTAAAAGACAAGTAGCTGCAGAAACCCACCTGCAGCTGTTTTAGGTGATAACTGTCTCTTCTGTACTAGTTACCATACTTGTCAAAAATGTTTATGTTCTTGCCTCCCGCTCTCCTTGTCCTGTGAATTTACACTTAAAACAAAAACTTCTTTACTGTACTTTAACTGTATGATGAGTTCACTACTGCTTGGGCCAACTTCTTTTTATTAATGGAAATCAAAAAGTCTGTTGGAAACTGCATTTGTTGATGATCAATTACCTAGATCAGACTCTAGGGATTACTTAGATGTCAAAGGCTGTGTTAATCAGCTTTCTATCAAATTTAACAAGCACCCAAGACAATCAACTTATAAAGAGAAAAGGTTTGTTTTGTAGGTTCAGTCCATGACTGGCTGTCCTCACTGCTTCTGAGCCTGTGGTGAGGCAGCACATCATGGCAGGTACAGGATGCACAGCAAAACTGCTCATCTCATGGACAGGAAGCTGAAAAAAGAGAAGAAACCAAGAAACTCCTCCAAGAGTATGCCCCTCAATAAATGAAAGATCTTCCTGTAGACCCCACCTCTTAAGGGTTTTGTGATCTCCCAGTAGCTTCACCCTAAGGACAACATGAGCTAGGGACATCTAAAATCCAAACAATAGCAGTGTTTTAAAACAATTATGGCAGAGCATTCATGGACCTAAACTTTTTAAGAAGTTAGCTCTTCTTACATGTCTGTGAAACCTTCCCCAAATCTAAAAAACCACATGTATTGTTTTATCTTCGGAATACCTGAAGCCTTTAAAAAAACAGCTTTACTGAGGTATAATTTACATGCTATAAATTTCACTCATTTTCAGTACACAGTTCAATTATCTTTAGTAAATTTATGGATTGTTCTGTTGCCAAAATCTAGTTTTAGAATATTTCCATTACTCTAAAAAGATCCATCATACCTATTTGCTCCTACCCATTTATTGCTACCCTATCCTCACCTAATCAACAATCTAATTTCTGTCTCTCTAATCTTCTTTTCTGGACATTTCATGTAGATGGAGCTGAACAAGATATTGTATAGTTTTTAGTCTGGTTTCTTTTACTTAATATGATGTTTTGAACATTGATACATGTTTGTAGCACATATTAATTCATTCCTTTTACTTTTGAATAGTAGCCTGTTGTATGGCTATAATATATAGTATTTTGTTATCCACTCACTAGTTGATGGACATTTTCATTTTCTGCTTCTTAGCTTTTATAAATAATGTTGTGAACATTTGTATACAAGTCTGTGTGTGTGTGTGCGTGTGTGTGTGTGTGTGTGTGTGTTAACTTCACTTCAATAGATAGGTACATAGGAGTGGAATTACTGGTTATATGATAAATTTATATTTTAACTTCTTAAGAAACTCAAACTTCTCTAAATGGCTATACCATAATACATGTCTTCTAGTAAGGTATTAAGGTCCAGTTTCTCATATCCTCATCAGTACTTGTTACTGCCTTTTTTATTAAAACCATTCTAATGGGTAGGAAGTATTACCTCATTATACTTTTAATTTGCATTACCCTAATGATTAATGATGCTGAACATCTTTTCAGGTGTCTACCAGCCATTTGTGTGTTATTGTGGTAAAATGTCTATTCAGATATTTTGTCCATTTAAAAAAAAAAAACTGAGTTACGGGCCAGGGATATAGCTCAGTGGCACAGCGCCTTGCTTAGCAAGTGCAAGGTCTTGAGCTCGATTCCTGGTACCAAAAAAAAAAAAAAACGAGTTACTTGTCTTATTGAATTGTAAGAATTCTTTATATATCCTGGATATAAATTCTTTATCAGATATGTGAGTTGCAATTATTTTCTTCCAGTCTATGGCTTTTCATTTTCCTAGTAGGGTTTTATGAAGGGTATTTTTAATTTTGATGGCATTCCATTTACCATTTTTCTCTTTTGTGGTTATTGCTGGACTATAAAGACTGGTAGTAGAGCCCAGTCTATGTTTTAGAATCACAAAATATCTGATTTTTTTTTTACCAAAAAAGTTAAAAACTATAGTTCTCCAGTAAGAACTGTCATTTATAGACCCTATTATCACATTATGATGTCAGGTTCTATGTTCATGATAATACCTTGAACATTTCTGTCAGCTGACTTTTTTTTGCCATGTTGAGGATCAAACTCAGAACTTTGCTTATGCTAGGCCTCACCACTTAGATACATCTGCCAGGCATGTTAGTTTATTTTAAAGCCAACAGTTGTAAGCTAGCAACTTGCAGAATTTTTGTTTGTCCTAGTTTTTTATCCCAGTACTGGGGATTGAACTCAGAGCTTTTACACTAAGCTACATCCCTAGTGCTTTGTATTTTGAGACAGGATCTCACTGTCTCAAATGGCCTATCCTGTGCTCACACTTTCTATCTCCTCACTCAGCCTCCAAGAATTCTGGGATTATAGGTATGTGACACCACCTTGTTCCACAGATTTTATAAAAATAATTTAATATCTATGATTTTTAATTTTTTTTTTTTTTTTTTTTTTTTTGAGACAGGGTTTCACAGTATAGCTCAGGCTGGCCTTGAACTCAAGGAGATCCTCCAGCCTCAGCTGTCCAAGTGCTTGTTTTGTTTTCTTGAGACAATGTCCTGCTATGTAATTCAGGCTGGCCTTGAACTTACTATGTAGCTTGGGCTGGCCTCCAACTCTCAGCAATCCTCTAGCTTTATCCTCCCAAGTGCTGGGATTACAGGTGTCTGCCACAATGCTTGGGCTTTAATTGTTTTCTTATGGATGATTTCAAACACATAAAAGTTGATAGGCTGGCTGGCTGCATTGGTACACACTGGTAACTCCAGCTACTTAGGAGGCTGAGGCAGGAATATTACAAGTTCTAAGCCAGTCTGGGCAATTTATCAAGAACCTGTCTCAAAACAAAAAATAAAGGGTAAGGGGCTGAGGATGTAGCTCAGAGATAAAGCACTAGCCTACCACATGTATTTAGGTCCCCAGCACCACAAAAAGAAAAGGTTGTCAGACTACCATCATGAACTTCCATGTAACCAAACTGTAGCCTTGACAGCAACCAACTCTGTCATATCCACACCTTTGGGAAAGATAACCAAGACAACATTAATAACCTGGAGATTTAATTCAAAAATCTTAGCTTCTAATGAGATAATCCAGAACCTCTAGTATAAACTCAAAGATTGGCAAGTATAATCTCAGCTTTCATCAAGAATAGTACCAGTATCAAAATAATATTTTACTTAAATTTTCTACCAAGTGAGCAAATAAGTGGGAAGATTATGTACACAGAATGAAGGCCGTACCTGCCTCCCTATTTCCTGAGCTGTTGCTCAAGGCTGGTGATGGCCCAGGTAGAAGATTCCAGTACTGGGAGCTTGGTGCCATATCACTGGAAAGTGAGGGAGTAGCTGTATCTTTCTTTTCTCAAGGTCACATGTAGCACCTGCTTGTTTGTGACACAATCCACTGCACTGTGTCGTGTTTCCTGGAGCATCGTAAGGCTAGCAGCAGGCCTCATTTTGGACACCCACATTCAGCTTTTCTTGAACAATATGAAACTGTGGCAATATTGAGCTTGTATTGTCTCATGGTAGCTGCTCCCAGTAGAGGGAGATATAGTAGTTCTGTTGGCTTTCCATTGCTGCGACAAAACACTTGAGATAATTAATTTAAAGGAGAAAAGGTTTACTTTGGCTCACAGTTTCAAAGGTTTCAG